ACCATATAGGCAGCTTTATTACTTTGATTGAAGTATTTATTACAGTGATTGAAGACTTGACAGTATTATAGGGAATGGTGGTACCATTCCCCAAGCATTTACCGAATGCCAAACATTGGCCAGAGTCTGGGGAAACACTGGAATGACCGGCTGGTTTCCTAGACAGAAACATGGCATCTCTTAAACAGTATAGCCACAAGTCTTTTCTTCTTAAAAGAAATGATAAGAGATGAGTTCAGTTCAGATTTCTTAGATCATTAGGTAGGATAAGATAGGATATTCATTGCTAAGCACTAATGAATAAAATAATGCCTATGAATTACTTGTTTATATTTATAATTTTGCACTTGTTAAATTTTATATTCAGATTCAGTATCGAACTGGCCTGGGAAGAATTTCACCTAGTGAATTGCTATATTGATTTTTTCATAAAGCAATGAACTATATTTTTCCTTCACAAGATAGATTGGTTGTTTTTTTGCTTTCTTACCTTATTCCTTGGGGTTGGTTTTACCATCAAGTAGTTTGAAGTCCCTTGAGATCCCAGTTCTAAGAAGATGAGAAGGCCCTTTATCTGGAAAATGGGGCAGTTCACTTGGTTCATAGGCTCCTCTTCAAGAGAATCTTGTCTAATGTGAGCACTTCTTCAGTGTTCTTTGCTTATTTCAGCAATTTTTAGTGAGTTAGCCAACCTTGCCCCTTACTGTGAAGGCATTGAGCAGAGTTGCTAAGCTATAACCCTTGAGTATGGAGGCTCAGATGAGAGAGAGGGGATGAGCTCTGTAGACTCCTCCTAATTCTGAGTGCAATAGTGCCATGACATGGAAGAAATTCCTGCTGAGAACCTTCATTGCAAGTAGAGGCAGTGAGTATGAAAATCTCCAGTCCTGTTTGAAACTATGGGAAGAAGTAGGGTGCCCTGGGCACTGTTTTCTTGGGAAGAGACTTTGAATTGGAAGTTTTTGATCTGCTAGGAGATCTTGAACTTGACCTGTAGATCCTCAAGGCAGGTGTGGCTGGAATTTTCCCTTCTTTGGGTTTTGTCAGGATTTTTAGAAGGAGTGGAGTAGCAACTCTTCTTTTAGCCTTTCCTGTCACTTAAAATTCTACCTCTGCCATCCTTAGAAAGCACCAGGAAACAACGTCCTTCCTTCTTGAAATATAGGGACTTGCTTTGGAGGCTCTGAATGACAAAGATATGATGGGGACAGATGGGGAGAGCAAGGAGAGATGAGAGGGAAGATTTTCAAGTTGTAGAACCTCTTTCATTTTTGGCCATTAGCTCTGTAAGTTTCAACTTGGACTCTGGAGATAAGGCAGAAAAAATTTCATATAATTACTTCATAACCATAGAACTCAATGAATGAAAACCACACTCATGTGATGTGGTGAAGTACTTGTTTTGTCCATGCTAGTTCTGAAATCACAACATAGGTCTGTAATTTAAAGTATATGGTACTTCATTAGACTAGAATATGTTTGAGTAATTTACAGCAGAAGCCAGGAAAATGCAACCAGGCTGGTGGCAGACATTGACAATTTGTAATAAGCATGAATAACAAGAGAAATGTGTACATGTTATAATTAGTACATTCGTTTATTGTAGGGTTTTTCAATAGGTTGAAATGAAGGTTAGATGACAATCTTAGTGGAAAATAGTCTGAATATGTCAGCTGCTTATGTTCATCCTATTATTTGTTTAGATTGATTTTTTTAAATGGATAAATCATTTACATGATTCCAAAGTCAAAGTTTTATAAGTTATATTCAGAGAAGTCTTGCTTTCATCCTGTCTCTTCCCCTCCATTCATTTCTCCCTTTCTCAATAGTGCCATTTTGCTTTTGGTTTAACCTCTCAGTGTTTCTTTTTGCACATATAAGCAGATATTATATATATATATATCCATATATATTCATTGTATATTCACATATTTATTTTTCTTCTCTTATATAAAAGGCAGTACTGTATAGTATATATCACTTTCTGCACTTTGCTTTTTTTCTGTTAATAATGTCCTAGAGATTAGTTGTTATCAGGGCGGTTTTCATATTCCTTTTTATAACTGCATAATATTCTATCATTTATTGTAGTTTATTCAGATGGTGCCCTATTGGTGATCATTTGGGTTGTTTCTAGTTTTTTTATTAATAATGATTCACTAAATAATATTCTGCATAAGATATTTTGTATTTTTGGTAATGTGTTTTTGAGCTATATTCATAGAAGTGGTATTGCTGGGTCATACTTGCTATTTTCAATATTCCTGCTATATTCAAAATGCTTATGAATATGATTTCCTATATGCTGTGTCTGTTCTGTAGCTATGGAATGTAGATTCATGTTTAAAGGTAGCTGACTGCAGAGGACATTTAAGTTGGGTTCACGGTGTGATGTTTTCTCCTGATGGATCATCATTTTTGACATCTTCTGACGACCAGACAGTCAGGGTGAGAAATATTTTTGTTTTAAACATTTATTGATGGTGAGTTAACCCTCCTACAAACTAATAATTATTGTATTATCCTGGATGGAGCTGGAGCCCATTCTTCTAAGTGAAGTATCACAAGAATGGAAAAATAAACACCACATGTACTCACCATTAAATTGGTACTAATTGATCAACATTAACATGCACACATGAGAAGCAACATTCATAGGGTGTCGCACAGGCCGGGGGGAGGAGGAGCTGAGTAAATCCACATCTAACAGATATAGTGCTCACTGTCTGAGGGACGGGCACACTTGTTGGGTAGTACAAAGGCAATTTATGTAATCCCAAAGGTTGCAGTGAGCTATGATGATGCCACTGAACTCTACCCAGGGTGACAAAACAAGAAAGAGAAGGAAAAACGGAAGGGAAGGAAAAAGAAGGGGAAGGGAGGGATCCAGCAAGTCCACTCCTAGGTATATATACAAAAGAACTGAAAACAGAGGCTCAAATAAACTTGTAACACCAATGTTCATTGCAGCATTATTTACCATCACCAAAAGGTGATAACAGCATGTATCAGAACATTTGGCCAAATGCCCAACAGATGAATGAACAAACAAAATGTGATATATATACATACAAGGGAGTATTAGACATGAAAAGGAATAAAGTTCTGATACATGCTGCAATATGCATGAAAATATTATGCTCAATGAAATGAACCCAACACAAGGGGATTCCACTTATATGAAATATCTAGAATAGGCAAATTCATACATTACATTAGAGGGTACCAGGGGCTGGGAAGAGAAAGCAACAGGGAATTATTACTTAATGGTTACAAAGTTTCTATTTGGAGTAATGAAAATGTTTGGGAAGTATATAGTGGTAATGGTTGCATAACACTGTGAATGTTATTAATGCCACTGAATTGTACATTTAAAAGTGGTTACAATGGCAAATTTTACTTTATACATATTTTATCACAACAAAAAAAATTATTTTAATCTTCAAATCTTGCAAATGCAGTGGTTCCTTTTGATAAGCTATATTGGAACTAAATTAACATTATGTTTAGAAGGATCTCCTCCATTTCAAATATAAGTCCTGAAAAAAATATAATCTTGATAACTGACATATTATTGACAGTCATTAATAAAATATAAATCAGTATTCATATTCTTTTAAATACTGCTCATCTTGAAACATTTCTATAAGAAAAATTCATCATCTGGCCTAGAATAAAACTTTTGTGAATAAATGATGGACTAGCAAATAACATACAGAGCAGATCTCCTAATGCTTATTTATTCAAAGAAAAATGTATACTCATAAATGAAGATCACCAATGTAGAGCAAAGGTTTGCTAAAATGAAATTAGTTCAATCATTTCCATTTATCTCCAGAACTACCAAATTACACTATTATAATTAATCATTTTCTCATCTTTGAACCCTAAAAAAGCTATTTTTGAGTCATTCAAGCTTCTTCAATTTTTGAAAGATTTTTAAATGCTAAATATACTCTTCTAAAGTTTTTGCCAAATGACAAGATGGTTTATACTTTATATATATAGATAGATACATTATAGCAAATTAAAACCAAGGCATAGTCCTCAAGAAGAAAAAAAAAGCTTTCCAGTGGGATCTATAGATGTTTAGTGAATGCACAGCCCTCCAAGTGTGTCCAGATGGTAAGCAGCATAGCACGGGAGGCCAAAAACAGAGGAGAGGAAATCATACTTAAATGCTTCCCAGGACAGGTCGTTCTTAAAAATTAGTGGCTGAAGGCCGGGCGCAGTGGCTCACGCCTGTAATCCTAGCACTCCGGGAGGCGAGGCGGGCGGATTGCTCGACGGTCAGGAATTCGAAACCAGCCTGAGCAAGAGCGAGCCCCTCTTACTATTAAATTGAAGAAAAATTAATTGCCAACTAAAATATATAAAAAAATTAGCAGCATGGTGGCCACATGCCTGTAGTCCAGCTACTCGGGAGGCTGAGGCAGGAGTTTGAGGTGCTGTGAGCTAGGCTGATGCACGGCACTCACCTCTAGCCTGGGCAACAAAGTGAGACCTGTCTCAAAAAAAAAAAAAAATTAGTGGTTGAAAGTGATAGGGAAACTTGGTGAATGTGGAATAGGCAGTTGTCCCAATTATGGGTAGCAAAAGAGAAAGACCTAACAATAGAGTAGACTAACAACACTTCAGTTGGAAAGAAAAAGAACAGGAGTAGACAGGCGTGGTGGCTCCTGCTGTAATCCTAGCACTCTGGGAGTTGAGGCTGGAGAATTGCTTGAGCTCAGGAGTTCAAGACCAGCCTGAGCAAGGGCAAGACCCTTCTCTACTGAATAGAAAAAAGCCCATCAATACATGAATGGATTAACAAATGTGGTATATGTATACCATGGAGTACTACTCAGCCATAAAAAATGAAAAGTTACCTATTTAAAAAACTAGAAACAACCCAAATGATCACCAATAGGGCACCATCTGAATAAACTACAATAAATGATAGAATATTATGCAGTTATAAAAAGGAATATGAAAACCGCCCTGATAACAACTAATCTCTAGGACATTATTAACAGAAAAAAAGCAAAGTGCAGAAGAGTATATATACTATACAGTACTGCCTTTTATATAAGAGAAGGAAAAATAAATATGTGAATATACAATGAATATATATGGATATATATATATATATAAATATCTGCTTATATGTGCAAAAAGAAACACTGAGAGGTTAAACCAAAAGCAAAATGGTCACTATTGAGAAAGGGAGAAATGAATGGAGGGGAAAAGACAGGGATGAAAGCAAGACTTCTCTGAATATAACTTATAAAACTTTGACTTTGGAATCATGTAAATGATTTATCCATTTAAAAAAAAATCAATCTAAACAAATAATAGGATGAACATAAGCAGCTGACATATTCAGACTATTTTCCACTAAGATTGTCATCTAACCTTCATTTCAACCTATTGAAAAACCCTACAATAAACGAATGTACTAATTATAACATGTACACATTTCTCTTGTTATTCATGCTTATTACAAATTGTCAATGTCTGCCACCAGCCTGGTTGCATTTTGTCCTGGCTTCTGCTGTAAATTACTCAAACATATTCTAGTCTAATGAAGTACCATATACTTTAAATTACAGACCTATGTTGTGATTTCAGAACTAGCATGGACAAAACAAGTACTTCACCACATCACATGAGTGTGGTTTTCATTCATTGAGTTCTATGGTTATGAAGTAATTATATGAAATTTTTTCTGCCTTATCTCCAGAGTCCAAGTTGAAACTTACAGAGCTAATGGCCAAAAATGAAAGAGGTTCTACAACTTGAAAATCTTCCCCTCTCATCTCTCCTTGCTCTCCCCATCTGTCCCCCATCATATCTTTGTCATTCAGAGCCTTCCAAAGCAAGTCCCTATATTTCAAGAAGGAAGACGTTGTTTCCTGGTGCTTTCTAAGGATGGCAGAGGGTAGAATTTTATAAGTGACAGGAAAGGCTAAAAGAAGAGTTGCTACTCCACTCCTTCTAAAAATCCTGACAAAACCCAAAGAAGGGAAAATTCCAGCCACACCTGCCTTGAGGATCTACAGGTCAAGTTCAAGATCTCCTAGCAGATCAAAAACTTCCAATTCAAAGTCTCTTCCCAAGAAAACAGTGCCCAGGGCACCCTACTTCTTCCCATAGTTTCAAACAGGACTGGAGATTTTTCATACTCACTGCCTCTACTTGCAATGAAGGTTCTCAGCAGGGAATTTCTTCCGTGTCATGGGCACTATTGCACTCAGAATTAGGAGGAGTCTACAGAGCTCATCCCCTCTCTCTCATCTGAGCCTCCATACTCAAGGGTTATAGCTTAGCAACTCTGCTCCAATGCCTTCACAGTAAGGGGCAAGGTTGGCTAACTCACTAAAAATTGCTGAAATAAGCAAAGAACACTGAAGAAGTGCTCACATTAGACAAGATTCTCTTGAAGAGGAGCCTATGAACCAAGTGAACTGCCCCATGTTCCAGATAAAGGGCCATTCTCATCTTCTTAGAACTGGGATCTCAAGGGGACTTCAAACTACTTGATGGTAAAACCAACCCCAAGGAATAAGGAGTAAGAAAGCTTTGAAAAACTAACCAATCTATCTTTGAAGGAAAAATATAGTTCATTGCTTTATGAAAAAATCAATATAGCAATTCACTAGGTGAAATTCTTCCACGGCCAGTTCGATACTGAATCTGAATATAAAATTTAACAAGTGCAAAATTATAAATATAAACAAGTAATTCATAGGCATTATTTTATTCATTAGTGCTTAGCAATGAATATCCTATCTTATCCTACCTAATGATCTAAGAAATCTGAACTGAACTCATCTCTTATCATTTCTTTTAAGAAGAAAAGACTCTGTGGCTATACTGTTTAAGAGATGCCATGTTTCTGTCTAGGAAACCAGCGGTCATTCCAGTGTTTCCCCAGACTCTGGCACATGTTTGGCATTCGGTAAATGCTTGGGGAATGGTACCACCATTCCCTATAATACTGTCAAGTCTTCAATCACTGTAATAAATACTTCAATCAAAGTAATAAAGCTGCCTATATGGTTTAATTATCCCAAAGTTATAGGTCAGTAGGCTATGAAGAAAATAGCCTATAATTTCTCAAGCAAGCATCCTCAGCATCTAATGGTTTAGGCAGCCCATTCTCTGTCATCCTTGGATCTCTGGAGACCAAGAACTCACAAAATAAATTCAACTACTCACCTCCACACAGTACTGGGACAAAGCCACTACTGCCAAATGGTTATGGGGGGAGAAGTCACAGTACTGGATGGTGCTGTGATGGCCTGTGTGGATTTCTGTCAATAGGCCACTGGTATGAATGTCCAAAAGCTGTCAACATAGAGATATCTATTAAGGTAAAATATTTTAAAAGATAAGCTATATTGAAACTAAATCTAACTTTATGTTTAGAAGGATCTTCTCCCATTTCAAATATAAGTCCTGAAAAAAATAATTACTGATAACTGACATAATTATTGACAGTCATTAATAAAATATAAATCAGTATTCATATTCTTTTAAATACTGCTCATCTTGAAACATTTTCTATAAAGAAAAATTCATCAATCTGGCCTAGAAATAAAACTTTTGTGAATAAATGAATGGACTAGCCAAATTAACATACAGAGCAGATCTCCCTAATGCTTATTTATTCAAAAAGAAAATGTATACTCATAAATGAAGATTCCCCACAAAACAATGTAGGAGCAAGGTTTGTAAAAAAATGACAATTAGTTTCAATATTTCCACTGTATTCAGAACTAACCAATTTACCAATATTGATTAAAATTAAATCATTTTCTCATCTTTAACCCTAAAAAAAAAGCTATTTTTGAAGTCAATTCAAGCTTCTTCAATTTTGGAAAATTTTAATTGCTAATATACTTGTAAAGTTTTCCAAATGACAAGATGGTTTATACTTATATATATTAGATAGGATACCTTATAGCAAATTAAAACCAAGGCATAGTCCTCAAGAAGAAAAAAAAAGCTTTCCATGGATCTATAGATGTTTAGTGAATGCACAGCCCTCAAGTATGTCCAGAATGGTAAGCAGCATTTAGGCACGGGAGGCCAAAAACGAGAGAGGAAATCACTAACTCTAAATGCTTCCCAGGACAGGTCGGTCTTAAAATTATGGCTGAAGGCCGGCGCAGTGGCTTCAGCCCTGTAATCCTAGCACTCCGAAGGCCCGATGGCGGCGGATTGCTCGAGGTCAGGAATTCGAAAACCCAGCCTGACGCAAAAGCAACCCCGTCTCTACTATAAATGGAAAAGAAAATTATTTGCCAATAAATTATATAAAACAAATAAGGCCAGGCATGGGTGGCAGCATCTGCCTGTAGTCCAAGCTACTCGGGGCTGAGGCAGGAGTTTTAAGGTGCTGTGGAAGTAAGGCTATGCCACGGCACTCACTCTACCCTGGCAACACAAAAGTGGAGACCTGTCTCAAAAAAAAAAAAAAATTAGGTGGTTGAAAAGGTGATAGGGAATGGCTGAATGTTGGAATAGGCCATTGTCCCCATTATGGGGTAGCAAAAAGAAGAAAGCACCTAACAAATAGGAATAGATAACAAACACTTCAGTTGGAAAGAAAAAAAGAAACAAGGAGTAGGGACAGGCGTCGGTGGGCTTCCTGCCTGAATCTAGCATCTGGGAGGTTGAGGCTGGAGAATGTTGAGCCAGAAGTTCAAAGAACCAAGCACTGAAGCAAGGCAAGACCCCTTCTCTAAGCTTGAAATAAGAAAAACAAGAAGGCCATCATAAACATGAAATGCGATTACAACATAATGGTGGTATAATGATAAACCATGGAGTACTAACGTCAGCCTTTAAAAAAAATGAACCAAAAAAAAAGAAAAAACTATTGGTTAATTATTCCTGGAATGGAAAAGCTGGAGCCCTTCTTTCTAAGTTGAAGCTAAATCAACAGAATGGAAAATAACAAACCACATGTACTCACCAATTAATTGTATAAATTGATTAACCATTAACATGGCACACATGAGAAAAGCAATCATAGTGCGCAACAGGGTCGGAGGAGGAGCTGAGTAATCCAATCAATCTGAAACATATTAGTGGCTGCAACTGTCTTGAGGGACGGGCAACCCAAACTGTTGGGGTATAGTACAAAGCAATTTATGAATTCCCAAAGAAGGTTTGCAGGTGAACGTATGATGATTGGCCACTTGAACTCTTACCCAGGTGACAAAACAAGAAAGGAGAAGGAACGAAGGGAGAAAAAAGAAGAACGGGGAGGGATCCAGCAAAGTCACTGTCCTAGTATATATACAAAGAGGAAAAACTGGAAAAACAGAGGCTCAAATTAAAACTTCGTAACACCCAATGTCATTGCAAGATTATTTAACCATTCACCAAGGTGAAACAGGCATGTACAAGAACAATTGGCCAAAATGCAACAGATGAATTAAACAAACAACTTGACTAATATACATTACAAGAAGTATTAGACATGAAAAAGGAAATTAAAGTCTGCAACAGCTGCAATATGCATTGAAACCGAATTTTATGCTCAATGACATGAACCAACACAAGGATTCCACTTATATGAGAAAAATCTAGAATAGGAAACATACATTACATTAGGAGGGTTACCAGGGGCTGGGAAAAAAGAACAAGAACACGGAATTATACTTAAAAGGTTACTCCAAAAGTTTCTGTTGGGAGTAAAAAATGTTTGCGAAGTATTAAAGTTGGTACATGTTGCAAAACCTGTGAATGTATTAATGCCCACTGAATTTTACATTATAAAAGTGTTCAAATGGCAAATTTTTACTTGTACTACATATTTTATCACCACAAAAAAATTGTTTTAATCTTCAAATCTTGCAAATGCAGTGGTTCCTTTTCTGTTCTTAAAGACCTTAACAAGGCCGGGCAGGGTGGCTCACGCCTATAATCCTAGCACTATGGGAAGCCGAAGGCAGGAGATCGCTCAACGGTCAGGAGTTTTAAACCAGTCTGAGCAAGAGCAAGACCCAGTCTTCTACAATAGAATAAAAGAAATTAATTGGCACTAAAATATCTAGAAAAATTAGCTGGCATGGTACACATGCTTAGTCCCAGTTACTCGGGAGGCTGAGGCAAAAATTGGTTAGCCCAGGAGTTTGAGGTTGCTGTGACTAGACTGATGCCATGGCATCCTAGCCTGTCTCAAAAAGAAAAGAAAAAAAGAAAAAAGAAAAGAAAAGAAAAAAGAACAAGAAAGAAAAGGAAGAAAAAAGAAAAGAAAAAAGAAGAAAACAAATCTAAACAACTTAAGAGAAAAGGAAATATTTTCCCTGTTAGTTTCCTGCTAAAAAGGTATAAACCCATAAGCAAACAAGTTCACAGGCTTCACAGTATGATCAAACAACAACCATATAAACAGTGTCTTAAATTATATCACATATTTCAATTATGCTTTTTAAAGTAGTAATATCCTTTACTCAAGTCTTTTAAAATTACTACTAGAATAGAATGTCACTGAGATATAAATCAGAAAATCTGGCTCTCCTAGTCACAGTATAACTTGGGACAAACTCTTTCGCTACTCTGAACCTCAGCTGCCTCATTGTAATCACAGCGCTTTTGCAATCTGCTATGTCTCTTGGTTATTTATATCAAAAGAAATTATATATGAGAGCACATGAACACCATAAATATAAGCTACTAGTAGATGTAAAAAAAAAAAAGGCATTTTCTTATCATTAACCTTTTTTTGCATATATTCCTCATTTTCTTTATAAAAATCTCCCAATCTTGTTCAGTTGTTGATGAGCATTTCTCTCTAGAGTCAGAAATTCATAAAATTTTAGGGTTAAGGAAGCATTTTGAAAAATCAATGTAATCAAAACTGGAAAAAGAAAAAGGAGTGATGCAGCAATGTTTTAAATACATTTGAAGAACACTGGACTTGACAAATATAAACTGGTTCCTTATTGTAGGACTTCCTGGGACCTTGAATATGTTAGTTCACATTGTATACCTTATAGAAGAAAACAAGACATAACCTTTCCCAAACCCATGTGGACCTTTTCTCATAAGGCCATCCATAGCCTCTGGAGTACAGTTCCAAAGAACTAGGAGAGGTTAAGGAACCTGCCCAAAATCACACAGCTAGACTTTATTTGTATCAACAGTATAAAATTGCAAAAATAGGAGTTTTAATTTTCTTTAAATCAGACTAAATTTGGCTTTTTAAAATACTAGTACTTACAAAGATTTTATTTTTTGCTGCCACCATTATGCTAGCACCATCAGCAGACCATGAACAACATTTCACTATCACTTCCATATCCTCTTGGGGGTCCTCTGAATTTAGGAAGAACTGTTTCACATTAATGCTTTTCTTCTCGTTTGCTGATTTTACATCCCAAAGCTTCAAAGTAAAAATATAAAAAACAAAAACAAGTTTGTTTTGCTCTCAAATCACACCTCTAAAATTCCACCTGGATTAAATGTCACACAAACTTATTCACTTCACCTGATGGATTATTTTTATCAATGCATGAATTTTTATAAGACTTTTAAGTATTCCAGTTTCATTCATCATCTTCCTAAAAAGAAGAATATTACAAGCACTGCCCAAAATGCACAATGTAGAATATAAAACTAAATAAAAAGTTAAGAGTCCTGCATGGCGTGGAGAAGGCTAAAGATTAGGTGTTGACAGAAAGGACAAGCGTGGAAGAAAGAAACTGACATGAAGAGACTCACTTGCCACTGCTGCCCTCTGCTGTGCCAGGCATGAAATGTGCTTCACATCTACCCTACATCAGCAGCAATACTACACAGGACCCAGTCCAGGCCGGGTTATAACCTAGCAGAGCATCCAGAGACACAAGGAAGTCCCTGAAAATGGAAAACAAAGACATGCTGAAAGGAAGAAAGACTCTTTGTGTGCTGGTGGAGCTAGATAGGAATCCTGAGGAACGGGGTGCAAAATACTCAAAACCTCACTCCCTAGCAGAATCACTTGAACAGCATGAAAGGCAAAGGCCATGAGAAGATCCACTACCTTCACTACTCTGGACCTTGAGCAGTGTCCCAGCTTCATAGAGTGATCATGGATACCAAGCCCAGACCAAGGGACAGCCAAGGTGGACAAAAAACAAACAAACAAAAAACAAAACCAACCTGCTTCTCAGGCTTTAACTCAGACACCAAAGCACAGCTCCCAGGTAAAACATTTGTCTGGACAGACACATTTTGAATCTCTCTTGAGTTAAGAAAAGTATTATATATACTAAAACATATGGCCGAAACCAAAACCTTTCCCCTTGCAACAACTGTGAATGAAGTAGATAAAGCAAAAGAGAGAACAGGTACTAAAACAATTAGCCTTCCCTGATACTAAAGACAAAAAAGAAAAATATAAATGCCAGAAGCTTCAGTTACATCAGCCAGAATACATGAGAAATCACATTCTGTTTCCCTATTAATATGAAAACAGATTGCCTGGATTTAAGAAAGAGAAAGAAAACTAGCGCAATACAATTTCATTACATCTGCCTAAATTACATCTTCTGCTTCTGGACCTGACTTCATCTCCTTCATATCCAAGCAGTGATGAAAACCTACACATCGAGGGACCACATAAACTAATGCCAGTATTTCATTTTGAGCAAGTCTCTGCATTTGTATCCAGAGTCCCTGTGCATCCTGTGCCTTTGTATACTTTAAATGGCTAGTTTTAAATAAAACTTGCATTTTGAAATAGTTTATCATCAGAGCCTTCAAAATGCATGCTTATCATTATACCCTACAGAAAGCTTAGAAAATCACAGAGCCATTTGGAGCAGGACATAATTTTACAGTTCTCATCCTCTCAGAAGGTAAAAGCTTTAGGAGACTTTGACCTTGAAATGCTGTTACCTAACATCATTTTGCAGGAATTCTGCTTACTACATGTCACTGTATCACTGCAAACCAGCCAACAATACTTGCTTAATAGCACTGTGGGAAAGCTACCGCAAACATGGGCAGTTGTCACCAAGAGTGCAGTAATGTCTGTCCCCTGCTGCTAGTGCTCTGTGCTCCACAATCACACTGTGATACTCACATGAATACAGAAATCAAAATCCTACTCCTGAAAAATGAAGACTTTTAAAAAATTTCCCTGTGAAGTTGAAGATCTTAGTTTGATTTGAAGAGATACAGGAAGAGTTTATCATCTTTAACACATTTATTAAACACTATGCTAGTCACTTTGAGAGTATATAAATGAATCAGATATAGAAACTACCCTCAAGGAGTTTACAGGCCAGTAAGAGAAGATAAGCACATAAATGACTCTAACATAAGACATGTCAGATATGCCATTTGACAGGAAAAGATACAGCACAGTAGGAATGCTGTATTCAAGCTGAGGGCTTGAGGGAACACTCTGTGCAGGAAGTAACCACCTTACTCTACTCCCTGAAGATCTGCCTACCTTATACCAACTTAAGATGGACAGAATTTCAACATCAAAAAGACAAGAACAACACTGGGCCTAGAACCTAAAGGGTCAACATAAGCTAAGTACAAAATGGGAAAGCAAAGAAAATGAAGACAGAACAAGTTCAATGGTTGTAGTATCATGTGCACGAACCCCTCCTAACAGAGTCCTCATCTGCTCTCAGAGCACCCTCTACATACTTTTATCACTTTCATGGTTTGTCTATTCACTTACCTTTATCCCCAACTCAATTCTAAACAACTTTAGGCCAGGACATATACTTTTTTGTTTTTAGTGTTTAAAACCCAAACACCTACTATATTATCTAGCACATAGTAAATATTCAATAAATGATCAATAAATACATTTTAAGTGAAAAGACAACTTACTCCCAAGGTTCAAGCATAGGTGAGTGGAGATAACAGTGTTACTGAAGGAAATAGAGTTCAGATTAAAGATGGAGACAGAACACACACATTCACCTCTGCTATGGTTTGGATATGGTTTGTCTGTCCCCATCAAAACTTATGAAGTTTGATCTCCACTGTAGTGGTGTTGGAAAATAGGGCCTAGTGGGAGGTGTTTCAGTCATGGAGGCAAATCCTTCACAAATAAATGAATGCCGTCCCACTGGGGTGAGTGAGTTCTCTATGACTGGGTTAGTTCCCAAGACAGCAGATTGTTAAAAAAGAGTCTGAAGCCAGGTACAGTGGTACATGCCTTGTAGTCCCAGCTACTCAGGAGGCTGTGGCATGAGGATCTCTTGAGCCCAGGAGTCCAAAGGTAGCCTGGACAACATAGTGAGATCCCACCTCTTTAAAAAAAAGAGAGAGAGAGAGAGAGAGAGAGAGTGAGAGAGAGAGAGTCTGGTTTCCTCAGTTTCTTAATCTTGCTTCCTCTCTCACCATATGATCTCTTTGCATACATCCACTCCCCTTTCACGTTCCACCAGGAGTGAAAGCAGCCTAAGCAGCCTCAGGCCCTCACCAGATGCAGCTGCCTCATTCTGGATTTTCCAGCCACCAGAACTATGAGCCAAATAAACCTCTTTTCTTTGTAAATTACCCAGTCTCAAGGTATTCTATTTAGCAACACAAAACAGACTAAGACAATCTCTAAATCCTCCCAAAACTCAGGTAAAACAATAGGGAATTTTTTCCTCTAGGCATAATCCACAAGATAAAGGAAAATGGAGAAAGAGTTAATAGCAACAAAATCATAAAAGCTAAAAAGAAAGGCAAGTAATAAGGAGATTCCTAAAAATTAAATTCTGAGCCTGCAGTAAGAAAAACCAAACAGCCCACAGAATTCCTTAAAGGCGCAGGAAGTGTAGACATCCAGCACCTTCTGGCAGAGGTGAAGCTAAGGCAGGAGGAATCTTTAAAAGTCCATTGAAATCTCCTCTCCCATTCTGCAAATCCAGGTGGACTGTGCCCCTACACTGGTGGAATAATAGGGGACTATTCTATACCCAACACAGTTGACAGCAACGTCGCCACACTGAAAACAGGGAAATGAAGAGAAAGTTTATATTCTAAATGTTGAGATCTCTGCCTACATATCAACTCTGAACATGCCAGCCAGATTTATACCCTACAAGAATGAGACTGACAATTTCTCTCTGTATACACAACCAGATCAAGACAGAAGACATAAAGACTCTGACATCATGACTTCACCATGAAAACATGACAGCCAGACAGTCCATAGGAAAACAGTAAGTTCACAATTCCCAATCAATTTTTTGGCATTGTTTTTTTTTGCTTTTTACAGCAATTTTTGAGGGGGCTCTTGGTAGGTGATTTTAACTGTCTGAATAGGTATTAGGTAAGGTTATCTCCATAGAATGAAAGGGTTAGGGGATTAAGAACAGCAGAAAAGGATTAGAATAGGCACTACAGTGAAAATAGCAAATAAATTAGGGATGATTTAAATCAACAGTAAACTGTTGACTCAAATGAACCTTAAAAAGGTCCAGTTAAGTTGCACTACTTAGATTTCTAGAACATATAAATGGCCTGGTTTTACAACTTTCTTGAACATTCAGCAACCTAATAGTAATATAATAATGCCAAGGATTAGGATTAATTTTAGAATTAATCTTCCCAGAACTTGGAATTAGCAAAGGAGATAAAATGGAAGAAAAACTTGGCTTAAAATATTAAATTCCTTCTTCTAAAGTCATCCCCTTAGTAAAAAACAAAAACTAATGGGCTGACAGAACTGAAAGAATCTCTCAGAAGGCAGCTACCTAAACCCTTCCATGAGTATTCTGGAAAACCTCCTATAATATGGATCATCCTAAAGGAAGAGACAGATAAATAACACATCATAGAGGCCAAAATCCACTTACCTGAATGCTCCCAACATCCACAAATAGCTACTAAATTCTACAAAGTAAAATTCTACCCAGAAAGAGTTCCTAGATACCCTGGAATAATTTATACAAAATGAGTTACCCTCAGTCAGCAAAGAGAGATCAAAGATCCAACCCAGAGTATCAGCATTAAGATAGTTTTCCTTACTTAGGGGTCACTGAGTCGTGTTAATCAATCTCCTTTTCTAGAGATTCTAACAAAATAGTGCCCATGAGGGTTCAAGTATTTTTCTAGACGAGGTATATGTCAAGAAAATTTACTGAGTACATGGATACAATTATGTACTTACTGTGAACTTCAGAGATAGATACAACAAAAAGATGACAAGATCATAAACCTATATTCAATCTTATTAAAGAAATAAAAGACACATGAAAATGACTGAACAGTACAACACAATTATAAGTGGAAATCAGAAGACAAATCAAGAAGTTGCTGTCTATACAGATTGATATATGTATTCAGAACCAAAGAGATGGACGATATAATAGAACACATTCTGAGGAAGGCTTTGCATAAAGTTTTGAGCACAATTAAAAAATATGGCAAGTGAATTGGAGGAAAAAACAGCCCTAGAAAGGCAACAGGGACACATATAGGGATAGTAGCTGAAATAAACAAAGGTTAACTTGCACAGAACAGACAATTAAGGTATAGAGGCTAGAAGAAACAAACTGGACAGGAGAGAAGGTGGCAAAATGATGGAAGGTGAAGAAACTCAGGAGTGATCCTGATTTGAGTATGAGTTTCCCACAATTTATACTATGGTACTCTTTGTGCTCCAACTAAGAGTGGCAAGAAGAAAAGTGGTAGAGGGTAATCCTAGTAGCTCTGTGCTTGGATAAGCAGAGACAAAGACAGCATGTTAGAAGGTTACTATCAGACATGAGAGGACAACAGCCTGAACCAGACCAAATACTATAGAGCAGGAGGGAAAAAAATTAGACCAAGAACCAGAACGTCAAAGATAGGTTAGACTTATGAACAAAGTAAGGAAAATCAATAGGAGACTAGAGTGACAGCAAAGACAGGAATAATAAAGTGAAATTAGGATCTTATTGGAGAAGGTGGAGATTTAAGGAAGAAGAATTTAGTTTTTTTAGGACTATAAATTTCAGAAGGCTGAATAAGCCTTTTTCCCTAATATATAGCATGGCACTATTTGCATTGCATTTTTCCCCCAGGTGACTTCTCAAAAACAGGAAAATAATAACATAAAAGGCAAAATGAATAAATGATAAATAAAAGCAAGTCCTTTACAAACCTGATCCCATAGATCCTGCTATGGTTTGAATATGACTCTCAAAGTTCATGGTTGGAAACTTAATCCCCAACACAATAGTTTTGAGAGGTGGGACCTTTAAGAGGTCATTATGTCTTGCAGGCTCTACCATCATGAATAAATTATTGCTGTTATCTCAGGAGTGGGTTAGTTATAGCAGGAGTTGGTTCCTGATAAAAGGATAAAAGCCCCCTCATCCCTTCTTCCTTCACCCCACCCTCTCTCTCCTCTCTCTTCCCCACTCTCTCAAATGCTCTCTTGCCCTTCCACCCTCCACCATGGGATGACACTGCAAGAAAACCATTGTCAAATGTGGACCCCTCAACCTTGGACTTCCCAGCCTCCAGAACTATAAGAAATAAATCTTTGTTCTTTATAAATTACCCAGTCTCAGGTATTCTGTTTTAGCAGCACAAAAAGAACTAAGACAGATCTCAAAATATTTTATGAATATATGCTTAAAATGGAATGTATGCTTAAAATTTAAGAGGTCAAACTGTAAGAACTTTAAGCATTAGGTTGTAAATCATTCATAAATAATCATTATGACAAGCAATTACAGTTACATTAAATATGCTCCTGGAAACTGAAGGAAGAGGCTCTTTCCATAGAAATGTGAAAAAACAGAAATCTATTTCTATAACTGTATCGTAACACTTTCCACAAAATTACAACCCATTTTAATAATGTACAAAAACATACCTTTAATGTTCCATCAGCTGAACAACTAGCCAAAAGCTTATCATCTGGTGAAAATTTGCAGTGATTGACTGAATTTATATGGCCAAACATGGTATTTCGGCATTCTTTTTGATTCAAATCCCAGAGCTATTTGTGACAAACAAACAGATAAATTAAAAACTAAGTACTGAATGGAGAAAAGTCAGAAATCATGTAAAGTTATTCCTTTTCTCCCATTTAAGCTTTTTTGGTTACAGGATGCTGTTCAATTCACAGTAACACAAAGGTGTCAAACACAAAGATAAACTTGTGATTAATAAGTAATAGGGCATCCCTTGCATCAGTACCTAGATCTACTAAGGGACTCAGAGACTAACTTAACTTTTTACTCTGACCACTAAATAACTAACTAAACAATTGCTGCTTATTGTAAGTGAGTGGTTTAGAATCACTATTTCACTCAGTTACAATAAGCTACAGTAAGTAATATGTAATACAAATTGTCCTCGTTTTTTTTAAATGCTAGGTTATCTGCAGGGAAGAGTATTTGAGGCAGGCCCTCGAGGAAATTAGCTACTTCTCCCCATGGAGCCAAGTCCCTAAGATAGGGTTCGCCACAGAGGATAAGGAAATTGACAGACAACAGAGAGAAATAAAAGAATACACAGAGACTAAGGTATAGTTTATAGTTTTTTATATATATATATATATATAAAGATCAGATATAACACAGTGGGGGTACTTAGGAGACTGGCATATCTCCATAAACGCCAGCAATATGGTTAGATTCATACAAGTTTTTATAATCACAGACATCAGTTACCAGTTGTCAAGGTAACATATTTGCATATCAGGGAATGCAGTTGCTAGGGGATACAGGTAGTGGGTTAGGGTCAAAAGTCCTCTCAAGGGGCTTCTAATCTATCTAGGTGAACAAACAGGTACAAAGTCTTTCAGGGACTAACTTCTAAGTTCTAAGAGGTAGTTGTTACTTAACAAAGGTATAACAAAAAAGGTATAGTGACTCTATATTTCTTTGATTAGTTATGGTGGACTTAAAGGTAGACAGAGAGGAGAGAGCAAGAAACCTATCTCTATAAAACAAGTTGTTTATAACCACCGGGGCGCATCTCTGGGCAAAGTGTACTCATTGTCTCTGGCTCCCAACCTGTGGGCCATATTTGCCTTGGCTTGTCTTTCAAGACACAGGGAAGCTCACAGATTTTGAGGTACCTGGAAGCCTTCCTGGAAAACATCCCTACCGGATATTTGAGAGCTCTCCCATGATAGCAGCCTCTAATAAGTGAACCATTGAGTTCACACATTCAACAAAGGTATAACAAAAGAGGTATAGTGACTCTATATTTCTTTGATTAGTTATGGTAGACTTAAAGGTAGACAGAGGAGAGAGCAAGAAACCTATCTCTATAAAACAGGTTGTTTATAACCACCGGGGCACTTCATTAATTATAACCACCGGGGCATTTCATTAATTCCTCAATCATATTTTCCCAATCCTAAAAGTTATCCAATCTTAAAAATCTTAAAAATCCAATCTTAAAAATGGTCTTTTCTAAGATTCAACAATGCAAACCCTGAATCTTCTAACCAGGCTAAAAACTATTAATGCTCTAAAAAGTTCTTCAAAAATATTCAAAGATAGCCTTTAGTATAACTGTATTTGATAAGAAATGTAAGGGGTTGGAAGAACAAGTCAAACAACACCTCCAGGAAGCAATCAACCAAATCCAGAATGTGGCCCATTTCACAGGACAAATGACTCAATTTCTCTAACAAAACATCTCCTCTCCTCTCATGCTATCTATCCTATCATGAAGAAGGCCCCACTTCAACCAGAGAGAGCTCCCATGTAATTGCTTTTGGAGAAAAATAAATAAATAGGTTTAGGTTCCTGAAAAGGGGGAAGGGAGGATAATTTTTAATAACTGTTTCAGTATTTTCTAAAAACAGTTTTTTTTAATTATTTATTTAAATGTCAAAACAGAGAATATGAGTTTTTCTAAACTGAAATGTTTTAGCCACCCCTCCCAAAAATATGATGTCCTATTGCAAAGATGGTGTGACATCAAGGAAGAAAGGTTTAAAATAAGACCAAAAAGTAATCCAAAAGAAGTTCGCAGATTTTTCTGGAACTTGGAAGGTTTACTCTAGCTGTCTTCATCCACTTAAGAGAAAAAAAAAGATACAATCTTTTATAATTTGTAATTACAAACATTATCAAGCATATTCAGAATATCTGTTTTTGGTTTTACTTGTTGTTTTTTTTTTCTCCCAGCACCTTTTCTACCTCCTCTTTCTGATAACAGAATCTCTCTTTTGAATCAAGCTCTACTTATGATTCAAGTGGAGCTGGCCTGACTTCATTTGTCCCACCTCCATATAGCTAAACTTGTGACCCTTGGACAACCCAAGGACCACACTGGGATTACCTAGCTATCACCATATAACCCAAACTGATTCCACTAGTCTTCTCTAAAATTAGATCTATGGGATCTAAGGAAAAGAGCAGTTTCTCTTCCTCTGTGATTATGAGTTGTAAGACTTCTATAAGCCTGGAGCTGAGGGTAGCCATATTTCCTGCCACATAGAGCATGCCTAAACTAACACAAAGGAAAGCAGAGCCTAGAGATGGAGAGAGATTTAGAGGCTGAAAATGCAGTGTAATCACCTGAAATCAGCTACGTCTGAAGCTGTATTCCCTCTAAACTTTTCAGTTACATGAGCCGATTTTATTTACATATATATACACACACTTTTGTTTTTTTTGCTTAAGGTAACATGAAAGTTTCTATCACTGCAACCAAAACATCCTAATATGATGCATAAGAAAATGAAACTAGAAATTCTGAATTATCTATCAAATTTATCTGCATAATTCTCAATATCCACACTTACTTTGAGGAGGAAGTCACTTGACCCAGTGGCTAAGAGAAGATGATGACTCCTGTTGGTGAAATGGCAGCAATTGACTTGCTCTGAGTGTTCATCATAGGTATGAACTAGTTCCCCAGTCACAGAATTCCAAATCTAAAGAGATTGGAGAATGGAGAAAATAAAATTTACAACTATCCATTTTTTTCAAAAAGAGAAGGGCAAAGCAATTGTGAGTCCCTTTGCAAATGCTCTCTCTCTTATTATGGCAGATTTTCCCAGTCAGACATGATGCTAACAAATACCTCTACCTTCTCTAAAATATGGAAATACTTTGCCTTAATTTTTTTTAAAACATTACTTCCAAATATACACATTATTCTACAGCATAATTGGAACCTCATGAAAACATGGCATTCCTCAAGGGCAAGATTGCACACATTCATATGAATGACAGCAGGCAGAGATTTGCTACAAAGGGGCTGGCATAATGGACTTCAGATAAAAGGGTTAAGTGCAAGACCTGGCTCTACCACTTATGATCGGTGTGTCCCTCATCAAGTCCTTAACTTACCTGCATCTCAATTCCCTCTTCTGTAAAATAAGGATACTTACACCTGTCCTATACAATTCAAGATATCAAATGAGATAATGACCGTGATAAGTGTTTGTAGACTTCAAGGTACCATATAAATAAGATTGCTCAGTGAAAAAAATAAAGGCTTTAGAATCTGAGAAAAACCTAGCTTTCAACCCTGTTATTAGCTAATATGAACTTAGGCAAGTGACTTTACCTCTGAATGTGTATCCTCTTCTGTAAATGGGGTCAATACTTATTTTGCAAGTTGTAGTGAGAAACTGATAATCTAATATAAGAAAATGTGTAGTATAAAGCCTCTCACAGTGTTAAGTTCTCAGTAAAAAGTAATCATCATTCTAGTTACTATGTAAGACAACTAAGCAGTCAGTTTCATATAACAAAAAAGAAAAGAAATAATTACCTAATGGATCTTCACTGGGAGTTTGACTTTTTAGAGGTACAAATATCCCCACCCATAGCATTCCTTTCTATCTTATCAAAGCACTTAGACTCCCCAGAGGTCCAAAGGGTTTCTTTTAATTTGAAGTTCTTTGATGGGTATTGCTGCCTCTTGCTTTATATTGTCAGTTCTTAGAAAACAGAAACTCAGTATTATTTCCTCTTACTCCATGCAGTTCTGACTTTGGAACTGCCCAGAGTAACCAACCCTAAATGTGACTCATAGTAGAGGATACAGAGTGAATTAACTGTTGGCTGCAAAGCCACCTAGTCCAATCTATCAAGAAGTAGATTTTTCCAAGGTCTTAATTTAGTCTGGACATTCCAAAGCCCTCTTCGAGTGGGTGAAAACTCCAGGAAAACACCCAAGCCAACTGGTTGCCCACCATCTAGCCAGATTCAGTACTCCACAACCCCTTTGAAAAAAGCCTGAAGCAAGGTCCCCCTATGACAATGATAAAACATCCCCCAAGCCTTCAGTTTCTCTTAAATTCGGTATTCTTATAGTATAAATGCTCTAGCTAAAAACAAAATCTAGGAACAAAAGATAAGAAAAAATAATTAAGAAAGATAAAATTATCCTCGGTTTATTTTTTTCTGTTTATTTTTCAGACCATTAAATTGTTAGTTTGTTCATCCATCTGGTTTTGCCCTAACTATACAAGCCAGTTCATAAAGGTTAAAAAGAAGAAAAAGAAAAAAAAAATCTGGGTTACATTTCACAAATTATATCTTTTACAGCAGGAATCTGATCTTGGATAATAATTTTGTGCAGCAACACTTCTCATTACAATGCACTCAAAAATTTCAACTGATATTTAACTCACAGACCTACCCTTTAACGGCAGGCAAATTCACTAATTGGCAATTACTTTTCCCCACTGCCTAGTAAACCTAACCTATGCATTTTTGCTGGTGTTTAAAAATAAAGAATTTTAAGACACTGTTAATTTACAATGGACCAAGTTAGTAGACCAAGAGGCAAGAGATTTTTTTAACTCTACTAACTCTGGTCTCTCTATTATGGAAAAAGAAAATGAATTTTGTGGTGATTCCAAGTCAAGAGGAAAATATTTTTCTACCTTCACTTTTTTATCCACTGAGCAGGTTGCTATAAACGTGTCATCTGCAGAGAAAGCACAACAAAGCACTTCATCCTCATGAGCCTTGATTTCTAGAAGTTTCTCTCCTGTTTCAGCTTTGAACACCTGCAGAAGCAACAATAAATCTTCTTACTACAAACCACTTAACTATGGGCCGTCATTCAATAAAAATCTTTCTTTAAAAGGTCACAATCATTGTTATTTTGCGAAAGAGAAATGAACCTTGGCAAAATCACTCCAAAACTCAGAATTTCTGTCCGAATTTGTATGCCTTAATGTAAATAGACAACCATCCATTGTTAAATGTTTGTAAATATCAGTAAAAAGAAGTGGAAGAGTATAGCTTCATTTCTTGAGACTGTTTTGACAAATTCTTAATAATCAAATAGAAAACAATTCATTCACTATGCTTTTTTTCCTTGGATCAAAATACAAAATTAATAAACTCAGTGCACTATAGAAATAACATGTATAGTCATAATCTTGCAAAGACCAAAAGTATCCTAAATATAAAAGTTTTAACTAATTTGATCCTGGTCCCTTCAAAATCAAAAGGTAGAGTACAAATGTAAAGAAAAGCACTCATTCACCTTTGCTGAAAACAAATAAAAACTTAAAGGAAATTCTTGAAAGTACCTTAGGAAAATAGTCTAGTCCAGTTCCTACTTACAGCCAGAAATCTATACCTAAGCCTATGATAAAACAAGTATTTTACTTAATCACTGTTTTTTAATCAGAGCCCTATTCCCTGTGTTATGAAGTCTCCATGTCTTCTAACAATTGTCATTTCCTATTACCCTTAACTGGCAATGGATGGCAGGGAACTGACTAGCAGAGTAAAGGGTACTTCTTTGTCACCTGGCAAGTTTAAAATTACAAAAACACATAACTGTGTCTTTAAAATCTTTAGATAAATCTTCCATAAAATGTTCAAGAGGTGAATTTCTCTGCTATTTCTTGAATTTTAGGATTTAAACATATTCTAATTTGCAAAGAATGTGTACATCTCTTTCAATTTTTCTCAAAAGATAGGTTTTACCTGTAAAGTTTTATCAGCTCCACAAGAAGCTATTCTCTGACCATCCTGAGAAAAGCAGGCATGGTAAACAGCATCTGTATGGGGGCGGACAACTAAGCGGGAGAGATTCTTGATGTTTTTTTTGTTTCTAAATACAGGGGGAAAATGAACAAAAATCCAATAAATGAAAGTGAAAGTAATTATTTTCTTTCAGTAATAAACTGTCTTTTAACATGGTTATATTCTGAAAAATACAAAATTCTTAAAATTACTAATATGCAAATGACAGCACAGATCATCTAAAGAAAAAAACATAATATAAAAAAAGTGGTATTTTTAAGAGAAATGCTACCCTATATCAAGCAACCTGTCATGTGTTACAAATGTCAATGAGTTTGAAGAAATCTAGTTAATCAAATACATGTCACTTGTTATTTTTCTTTGATACATTAATAATGATAACATGTGCAGATAAATTATGTAAAGATATCTTCAAAAAATCTCTATCTCTTTGAAAATGAAAGAAATCATAGCAAAATGAAACTCATTTTCTAACTAAAGTATGACACTACACCGCCAGTATGATGATGTACCTTTTTTTTGAGGCCACACTACCTTCAGAATGATGATGTACATAAGACTGCTCTTCCCTAACTACAATTATTCAGACAGAGAAAAAAAGGATAAAATGATGTCATTTTCTTTGCATCTTAATCTTATGAACACTAACTATTCCACTCATATAAATATTACATTATTGCTCATGAACAAAAGGGTAAAGGAATGTAACGTGTACTTAAAATAAAACACGAGACAATATTAGCACAGAGTTAGAATTTCATGTACATCCACCCCAGTCACTTTGAGTATAAGTAAATATGTTAAATAGTATTGCGCTCATTTTAAGAGTCAAAGGTTAGCAGTCAGGCAAATTTAAACAGCAACCTCACGTCTACTACTTATTAGGTGTATAAACTTAGGCAAATTACTTAACCTACAAGTTTCCATTTCCTCATATGTAAAATGGAAGTTATAGTATCTATCCTCAACAGCACAAGACACAGAGATGCCACTGTTCTCATTCTTTAAAAAATTAACTGTACAGAAGACAAACCAAATGATAAAAGTGAACACAAGGTCAATCAGATTTAGATCCTGCCTAGAAAGTATTACACTTTACTAGAAGTGATAAAACAAACAAGTATAGTTGTCCCTTGGTATCCGTGCAGGACTGGTTCCAAGACCTACTGCACCAAAATCTACAAATGCTCAAGTCTGTTACATAAAATGGTGTAGTATTTGCATATAACATATCACATCCTCCCATATACTTTAAGTCATCTCTGGATTACTTACAGTATCTAATACAATGTAAATGCTACATAAATAGTTGTTATACTGTATTGTTTAGGGAATAATAAGACAAAAGTCTGTACATGTTCAATACAGGCACAACTATCCACTTTTTTTTCCTCAAATTTTCGACCCATGGTCAGTTGAATCCATGGACGCAGAACTCAGGGACATGGAGGGCCAAGTGTATAATATATAATAAAAACTAGAGTGATGAGAACCTAAAACAGATAAGTTACTACCAAATTTAAGAGGATTAGATTTTAAAATGCTCTTTATTTCCCCTTGATCAATTCCTCAAAGCTCAGAAAGTGACCTTCGCAATGATGGGCATATAGTACATGGCCAAAAAGTATCAAATAACAAATAAATGAGTGAACAAATAATTTGGAAAACTGAAACTCAATTAAATTTAAGCTTACACTAACCTAAAACTTTCTACATAAAACAGGGGAAAAAAGTTTCTAGTACCAAAATAAACCATTCTTTGAATATGGCCTGGTCAAACCCAGTTAAAAATCTAACTATAGGGGCTGGCGTGGTGGCTCACGCCTGTAATCCTAGCACTCTGGGAGGCCGAGGCAGGAGGATTGCTTGAGCTCAGGAGTTCGAAACCAGCCTGAACAACAGCGAGACCTTGTCTCTACTATAAATAGAAAGAAATAAGCCAACTAAAAATAGAAAAAATTAGCCAGGCATGGTGGCACATGCCTGTAGTCCCAGCTACCCAGGAAATTGAGGCAGGAGGATCGCTTGATCCCAAGAGTTTGAGGTTGCTATGAGCGAGGCTGACGCTACAGCACTCTAGCCCAGGCAAGAGAGTGAGATTCTGTCTCAAAAAACCATATAGCTATAAATGACTAACCATTCTATGAGAATGTCACAGGTGTAAATGCAATTGATGCAATGGGAGAAAAGAAACAGCAAGAAGAAATAAAAATTCAACAATTCGTAAGAGAACAAGAACTAAACCTATGCCCATTTGATCAAACCAAGTATTTCAACCACTAACTAAAACATGATTTCATTCAATCTTCAACAAATTTCTACGGAATACCAGGCAAAATACTAAATGCTATTCTTAATAACAACAACTAATATTCACCGGGCACTTTCTATGAACTAGGTACTATAGCAGGCACTATATGTATATGTGTATTTGTAGACTCACATACATTCATTTAATCCTCACAAAAATGCTATGAAATAGTACTATTATTCAAGAAATGTTGAATAACTTTCCCCTAATGACACAGAACTGATTAATAGCAGAGCTGGGATTCAAACCCAGGCAGTGTAGAGCCAGAGTCTGTTGCCTCCAAACTATACTATACTATAGAACATAGGGACTAGTATGAGAGAAAAACAAGTAAACAGACAATCACCATAAAGTGTGATAAATACTGGGGTAAACAAAGAGTATTCTAGAATACAGATCTCACTTCGCTTCAGTAAGTTAGGGGGCTGCTTCCCAAAGACAGTAAAACCTCTACTTTCCAAGAAAGTGTTAAAGAATGGTTAACTCTGGGAAGTGAGGGATAGGGAGTCTTTGAATTTACATTTTACATCCCTATTACTTTCAAATAAATATAAAACCAACAAAAATTAAATTTTAACTAAGGCTGGGCACGGTGGCTCACGCCTGTAATCCTAGCTCTCTGGGAGGCCGAGGCGGGTGGATTGCTCGAGGTCGGGAGTTCGAAACCAGCCTGAGCAAGAGCGAGACCCCGTCTCTACTATAAATAGAAAGAAACTAATTGGCCAACTAATATATATAGAAAAAATTAGCCGGGCATGGTGGCTCATGCCTGTAGTCCCAGCTACTTGGGAGGCTGAGACAGAAGGATCGCTTGAGCCCAGGAGTTTGAGGTTGCTGTGAGCTAGGCTGACGCCATGGCACTCACTCTAGCCTAGGCAACAAAGCGAGACTCTGTCTCAAAAAAAAAAAATAAAAATTTTAACTAAAAAAATTTTTAAACTCTCTCAGATACCCCCTTTTCCTTCATGGACCCCTCCCTGCATTCCTCACTCATCCAAGTTAATTAATTATCAGCTCTACCTCTATTTTGTCCATATTTCTATTGTGGCACTCATCACATTATATTATAATTATTTACTTAGACTTCTTTCTTCACTACTAGATTGTGAACTTCGTGGGGGAAAGCCTCAGCACCGCGTAATATTGCTTAGCACATTAAAGAAACTCAAATGTTTTTCGAACTAAATTGAATCAAAAGACTCACTTATGGCAACCTGACTTATTTGGAAAGAGTGCCCAGGGCCATAAAGTTGGCAGATAACAAACTAGAGTTCAATTTAGATATAAATTATACATGTGAAAAAATAATCATTCATATTTATTATTTCAAGCTATAAGAGAAGCATGGACTATGAAAAGAGCATGGAAAATACAACCAGACAGAACCAGGATTTAAATCTCATTCAAAAAGCCACAATCTCTCTGTGCCTCAATTTTTCTCATTTGTAAAATAGGGCAAGTAATATTTACCTATAAAGTTGTTTTGAAGATTACACAGAATTACATACATGATTATATAGTATATAAAAGGCATTAAAAAGACAGTAGTTTATCCTTTCCTTTCCGCAAACTGATAAGATTAAGGAAAAGCAAAAGTGAACAGGCTCCTTTAGGAGACAGAAGAATCAGGATTCGGTGGTCCTATAATTAGGGCTATGTGCAAGACAAAGTACAAATTACTTTATAGCCATGATCTCACTGAAACTATCTCCAAAATTTTACATATGAGAGAGTAACCTATAACTTGTTCAAAATCACAAAATATTAGGTTTCAGAACTGAGGCTCAAACCTAGGTCTGTGGTTTCAAAGCACATGCTATTCACCAGTATAGCAGATTACTGTAAGTCAAGCATTTGGTATTAATACTTAGGATGACTTGTCAAAATGCCTTATAGGTGTCTATTTCTATGGACTCTTTGAAGGTACAACAGTTTTCTCCTATTCTTACTTCTCTGAACTTTTCAATAAGTAAGAATGCTTATTAAAAGTTCCAGCCCTTTCCAAAGTAGTTAAATCTTCCTGGAGTGAACTTGCTCACTACCTGAAAAATAATGACATAGTTAGTGCTCTGTTCCCTTTGGTTTCTCTCCTAACCTACTTACATCCATTCCAGGTAAAGCATTCCGTTATCGACCTCCTGCTTGGCCTGTAGCTTAGCTTGCTGATAAACTTCTGAAGTTTCCGGTTCACAGAGACCCAGCTGTACAATATTAGGAAATGGCTGTCGTCCAAGAAGGTGTCCATTTAAAGATAAAAACTCTTGAAAATTCTCACAGACTGCACAATCCTATGAATAAACTGAAATCTCTTAGAAATATAATCAGAGCCAAGATCTGACATTTTTCTGTTTCTGTGATCTTGCTACTTCAAAGGCTTAAATGAAATATGCTCTATAGGAACTAAAATTGAACAGCCAACCATTAGGTAACAAATATACAGTGATTCTCTTCTGGCTTTTAAACATAGGGTAAGAATTTCATTATCAAACACATTCTTTTTTTTAAAAACCACTGAACACCTTCCTTTCCCAGCTTTCAAACCCCAATCCTACCTGCATTGCCAGTAGACTAGGAAACAGATTAATTAGAATAATCAAAGGATAAAGTGGGGAAATTATCTCTTCGCCCTTCTTCTATTCTGCTCATCCCCATCATTAAACCTAGAATTAAATGTCAAAATGAAATGTCCCTTAAGCACTAATTTTTCATGTTAATATATACCTTTTTATCCAATATATGCCTGTATTCCATAAATTCATGAATCAGATGAGCAGGGCCCACGAGTTCTGTTTTTGCTTTAATCCAATCCAGGGAAAACATTAAGGCACAAAGTTCCTTTTAAAAAAAAAGTAAAATCAGCAGCACTGTTAAAGAGATCAAGAAATTTTAAGTATAACATCATTATCCTAACACTACTGAGAGAAACTTAGCAGATACTTAGAATTTAAACGCAAAGGAAGCTAATGAAAAATAACACACCATTGGCTCCAAAGAACATAAAATGGGCTTGACACCCTAAAATAAATTTCAGTTGGATTAAAAATTTAAATATAACAGAGAAAACCTTGAAAAAATAAAAGATACAGGTAAATATTTTTGTAACCCTGCAGTAAAGGAAATCTTTGTAAATGTGATACTAAAGCAAAATACAATAACGTGCATTTAACTACATAAAAATTCAAATCGTCAACAGAGTAGGAGGCAATATAAACTAAATTTAATACAAAAAATAAACCAGGATGAGGAGTTAATATTCTTTATAGAAAATTCTAATAAAACAGTAAGAAAAACACCCCAACAGAAAAAATAAGTAAAAGCAAAGGATAAAAGCCAATTTACAAAATAAAAAGTACCTACGGCCAAAATTTTGCCAATATTCAAAGTGAAGCAACAAAAATTTAACATTTTTTAAATATTAGATTTCTAAAGACCACAGGAATGGTAAGAACATTAACTGGAATCAGGGGAAATGAACACTCTCATCTACTGCTGGTAGTGATATAAAACAGAGCCCCCTTCTGGAGGGAAGTTTGGCAATCTGTATTAAAATTTAAACTATACATATCATTGGACACAGAAATTTCACTTATAAAAATGTATCCTAAGAAAACAACCAGATGAATATGCTTAAACAATCTAATTATTCATTAACCAATCAGCAATCATACATAATGTAACTATACAATGAAATAGTATGCAGCTTTAAAAATCATGTCACTCTATATAAATGGCATGAAAAGATGACCATTAAATATAATTAAGTGGTAAAAGTAATATATAAGACTATCTCTAATATAACCCCATTTGGTTTTAAAGAACAAGTTTGTTGATATAAACAGCAAAATGATCTAGAAAACTATACACAAAAGCATGAGGAATGGTTATCATCTTTTCTTCTTTCTAGTTTTTTTCTAAATTTTTCTGAAGAAAATAAACCTTTAAAATCAGAAAAAAGACTAAAGAAACTGAATCCTGCCACACTATCATACATATCAAAAACTAACATGATGCACTGACCCAGTAATTCCACTTCTAGGAATTTTCCAAGGAAACAACACAGCTACAAAGATGAACAAGAATGTTCATTATAACACTATAAGGGCAAAAAACTGAAAACAACCTAAACATTCAATAATTAGAGTTTAATTAAGTAAATTCAGGCATAGATGTTTATTAGAATACCACCCTTCTGATGTAGATTAAATATATTTTGCTAGGTGAACAAAACAGCCTATAACAATATACTATTTTTATAACTACGAGATAACATACTTGAGCATAGAAATACTACTGAAAGTACATATGGTTTTCCAAAAAGTTAACATTTTGAATAGCTAGCTGGTAGTCAGGACTTCAAATACCATTTTGTACTAATGATTCCCAATTTTTATCTTTCATCCATAATTCTCCCCAGAATTCTAGATTCATATACCTAATTGCCTATTCAATTTTTCCACCTGGATGTCCTAATAAGTATATCACACTAAGTATATTCCAAGTGAGCTCCTAACATTTTCCTTTCCTTGCAGGAAAAAAATTGTCCTCCCACAGACTTCCCCATTTCAGTTTATGGCAGCCTCATTCTTTCCATTGCACAAGCTTGGGTCATCTTTGATTCTTCTCTCATGAAATCCATCAGCAAATCTTGGTGATTCTACCCCTATATCATCATTTTCTTTCTCCTTCCATGTTTTGTCCTTTTTCTGAGAACTTAACTACCTACTGACATATGATACTGTCTATCATTTACTGTCTATCTCCCCCCAGAATATCAGCTCAATTAGAGGAGAGACTTTGTTCCTGTGCTATATTCTCTTAATGAAGAACAATACCAGTACATAACAACCACTCAATAAATATTCATTGAATGAACATACTTTCCCACCCTCCACTTCCTCTCAAAGCTTAATAAACAAATCCATACTGCCCATAAAGGAAAGCTACTGGTCAGATGAGTCAATTTTGAGATGGTTCATTTACTACAGTTATCTTTTAAAAAAGATACTATAGGTACCTTTTTAAATCACTGCAGGTAAAAACAGTAACAAAAATACTTACATAGGCTATAATCCTATATTTACTAATACAAGAAAATTCTAATCATAGGACAAAATTTGTTTGTGAACGTGACACCAAAGCAAAATGCCAGAAAAAGGGGTATATTTAACTACATAAAACTTCAAATCTTCAACACAATAGACAGCAATATAAACAAAATTTAAGACAAAAAATAAACCAGAAGGCCGGGCGCAGTGGCTCACGCCTGTAATCCTAGCTCTCTGGGAGGCCGAGGTGGGCGGATTGCTCGAGGTCAGGAGTTCCAAACCAGCCTGAGCAAGAGCGAGACCCCGGCTCTACTATAAATAGAAAGAAATTAATTGGCCAACTAATATATATACAAAAAATTAGCCGGGCATGGTGGCGAATGCCTGTAGTCCCAGCTACTTGGGAGGCTGAGGCAGGAGGATTGCTTGAGCTAGGAGTTTGAGGTTGCTGTGAGCTAGGCTGACGCCATGGCACTCACTCTAGCCTGGGCAACAAAGCGAGACTCTGTCTCAAAATAAATAAATAAATAAATAAAAATAAACCAGAAATTAATATTCATTCACCATATATATGGAAAAAGGAAAGTGATATAAAAGAAAAGCATTTTTAAATGGGTCATCTTACTTTGTGCATATTGGCACTGGCCATGTGATAGGCCAGAAAGTTGTACCAATACATGCAGTCCTCCTGATCTGGTGAAAGAGTATGTAGCTGGTGATACCTCTGAAACTGAGTGATCATCTTCTTATGTAGATCCTGAAACCCAAATTAAACATTTCAGAAGACAGAAACAATTTCATAACATAAGCATCATTATAAATACATCTTCCAAAGCTATTAAGAATGTACACAGAATCTTCCCACAAAATAGTAACTTTACAGTGGAGAAACCTGGCAGATACCACTTTAACCAAATTATCAATATTAACATCATCCATAATAAAACATATCAACACCAAGTACTCCCTGATATGATGCACTGAGAAGAACATAACATCATTTCTGTGGTATTCTTGCCAATTATATATAACCTCAATACAGTCAGAAGAAAACATCACACAAAACCAAATCAGGGTACACTATACAAAATAACTGGCCAGTACTATCCAAAAGTGACAAAGCAATGAAAGATAAAGACAGGAATTCTCACAGATTTGAGGAGACTAAGAAAAATAACAACTAGGGAAACAAGACAATCACATGCAGTACAGGATCCTGAATCCTAAACCACAAAAAGAACATGTGGATTAGTTAACATTATTGTGTCAATGTTAATTCTCTGGCTTTGACAGTTGTATTGTGGTCACATAAAATGTTAACATAGGGGAAGCTAAGTGAAGGGTTTATGCATAGAAACTATATGTACTATTTTGCAACTCTTCTAGAAGTCTAAAATTATTTCAAAATAAAAAGTTAAAGAAAAAGGATATACCAAGATGCAAGTACCTGAAGCTGACTGCGATTCTTCTCTGTAAGAAAATCTACTTGAAGATCATGTAAATAATAATGAAATGATTTTCCATTCCGATCACAAAATAAGAGAGACTTATTAACAAACTCCTGCAGTATGTCTTCAACTTCTTCAGTTTCCATGTCCCAGAGAATACATAACACCTAAGAATCATTGTAAGCATTTAATGTGCCTAGAAGTACAATAACTGGGACTATAGACAAGTTGTTAACATAAAAAAAAACATACTATAAAGACCTTAATGTCACTGTTTCGTAAGAAGCCCAACTATTCCTCAAGATAGAAAAGAGAAAGAAAAGTTGGATGCTTCTCCAACTTCACTAGAACCACTGAGAAATAGGCAACTCATGAGCTCAACACAGAGCCTTTAACGGAGACTGAGAGCAGATTTCTCCACCCTCCACCCACCACCACAATCCCATGGGTCTCATCCTTCCAGCATCCTCTGTAACAGTATCCTCAGCATTATATCAAAGCTGACATGCCATAAATACCCAATGACAAGAATTGTTGGTTCATCTATTACCTTTGTAGGCACCTTAACATCCTTCTGAAGGATGGAAAGATCTGTGTAATAATCTTTGATGTCTTCTCTGAGCATTTCCACACTTATAGACATGGCTTCATCCAGAGCCTCATAATCATAAGATGAAGATTTCCTTATTCTCTTAAATTGCTTATTCTGAAGTTGTCTGAGGTAGTAATCCCAGCGATTGGGAAAATCACGTAAAAGTGCACCAATTAAAGATACTACAAGGGGAGAACCTACAAAAAAAAAAAAAATGAAGTCATCACTGTAGCAATACCATCTTACTTTAAAAACCACCACTAAGAATCAACTTATTCATAAGAACCAATTTCCACTGCATGTTATCTAAAGCCTTAAAATATTTATAACTCTGTCTGTGTACAATGGCTCACGCTTGTAATCCTAGCACTCAGGGAGGCCAAAGCAGGAGGACTGCTAAAGATCAGGAGTTTGAGACCAGCCTGACCAAGAGCGAGACTCTGTCTCTACTAAAAATAGAAAGAAATTAGCTGGACAACTAAAAATATATAGAAAAAATTAGCCAGGCATGGTGGTACATGCCTGTAGTCACAGCTACTCTAGAGGCTGAGGCAGAAGGATTGCTTAAGCCCAGGAGTTTGAGGTTGCTGTGAGCTAGGCTGATGCAACAGCACTCTAGCCTGGGCAACAGAGCAAGACTCCATCTCAAAAAAAAAAAAATTTTTTTTATAACTCTTGGACTCACTTCTAGGTATTTATTCTTTACAAAAAGCATTAGAAATAAGATTTCATTTAAGGATATTCATCATAGAATTATTTATAATAGTGAAAAATCTTAAGCAATGTGAACGATGTCCAATAAAACTAGTTGATTCAATTAAGTTATCACATATATATTACACTGCAAGTGAATTTTTTCCAAAAGATACTTAACATGGAAAATGTTCAGGATATATAAAAAGGACAAGATTCAAAACTACATATACCATTATAATCTCAAATTTTTTAAAGTTTTATATGCCCTAAAAGACTGGAGGAAATATTTTCATGATGCTAATAAATTATCAGATTATGGATAATTTCTATTTTTGCTTTGTTGTTTCACACATTTTTAAAAATGCTTCAAAATGCACACCCATCACCTTATGACTACAAATCAAGTATTTTTTTTAAGTTTAAGATTTTTTAAAAATAAACTCAGATGAAGTATCTATTTGATGGCAGAAAGAAAAATTAGGTATTTCCAAACATAACAACAATAAAACAAATAATTTTTCTTAAGAGCTGTAAGATTTGACTATACAAAATTTTAAATTTCTATAGGTCAAAAACACTACAAATAAAATTAAAATGTACACAAAAAGGTGGGAAATATTTGCAAAATTATGACAAAGAGCTAACAGCTGGCCGGGAGCAGTGGCTCATACCTCTAATCCTCGCACTCTGGGAGGCCAAGGCGAGGATCGTTTGAGCTCAGGAGTTGGAGACCAGCCTGACCAAGAGCGAGACCGTATCTCCACCAAAAATAGAAAAAATTAGCTGGGCATGGTGGCACATGCCTGTAGTCCCAGCTACTCAGTAGGCTGAGACAGAAGGATCGCTTGAGCCCAGGAGTTTGAGATTGCTATATGAGCTAGGCTGACGCAATAGCACTCTATCCTGGGCAACAGAGTGAGACTCTGTCTCAAACACAAAAGAAGAGCTAATAGCTTTAATAGAGTATTTAAAAATAAATTTTAAATATTTATATTACAAAAGAAAAGTGGGTCAAGGATAATTTCTTAAAACACAAATATTCAATAAGTAAGCAAAAAGTTCAACTTCATTAATAAAAAACATGAATTAAGAAGGCAGGCCAGGCGTGGTGGCTCATGCCTGTAATCCTAGCACTTTGGGAGGCTGAGGCAGGAGGATGGCTTGACATCAGGAGTTTGAGACCAGCCTTAGCAAGAGCAAGACCCCATCTCTACAAAAAATAGAAAAATTAGCGGGGTGTGATGGCTTGCACATGCAGTCCCAGCTACCCAGGAGGCTGTGGCAACTCAGGAAGCTGAGGTAGGAGAATCACTTGAGCCCAGGAGTTTGAGGTTGCCGTGATCTACGAGGATGCCACTGCACTCTAGCCCAGGGCGACAGAGTGAGACTCTGTCTCGAAATATTACTCAATTTTAAGAAACAACAGTGAACTAGCACCGCTTATATTATCCTGAATTGCGCTTGAACCCATTATCCGAAATGAGGTGATACAAGATCAAAAGAATGGGCTCCACATGTACTCACCATCAAAATGGTACTGACTGATTAACACTAGGGTGCTCAGATGGTGGTGGTGTTCACCAGAGATTCGGGGGTCGGGGAATAGACTCATATCTGAGGGATGAGGTGAGCATTGTAGAGGGGAAGGGCATACCTCTTAACCCTTAATAGGGAGAGGCAAAGATATAAAATGCAACCAAAATGTTTGTACTCTCATATTTTCTTGAAATAAAAAAAAAAAGAAAAAAGAAGACAAGACCAGCTTCTACTTATTAGATTAGAACATTATTTTTATAAAATCCCAACCAAAATAAAAATTTAAATCTGACTCTCACTATATTTTTTACTCTTTGACAGCAAAGGTCATGTCTTTATCTCACCCCTCTCACTGATGTGGTCTCTTAATATACTGTGGGTATACATTAAATATTATTTTAATAAATGACTATCATAATATCATGCATCCATTTAAGGTATCAGAGAAAAACCTAAAACTCTAAATATCCCAGAAGTTTTTAGATGTTCATGTGCTAAATTATCATATTCATTAGCTTAATTTATAAAAGAGGAATTGATATCCCTATAACCCCCTCATATAACAAAATACATAACAATACCTTTACATTCTTTTATAATACTATGAGCTTGTTCTGGCAAATCTGCTTTCTTCACATTAACAAAAAGGGATAAAATTTCAAGTCCTTTTTCTTTTCCTAAGCCACTCTCCACAGAGACTACGTATTTGGGACCTGCAACAAAATCACAAGACAAAGTGAATAATTTAGTATTCCACATATTTTAAGGTAACTGAATTAAATATAAAGGTACTTAAAAAATAAATTAATAATCCTTACCCATTACTGAATCTGTAACACTCTTGTCTCTGGTTGTAAGAAGAATCTGACACTGATTATCAAAAGCTTTCAACACCCAAGGATCCCAAATGTCATCCAAGATCAATAGAGACCTAATTTAAAAAACCGTAATGAATCATTAATGATACTTATTTTAAGCTTCCTTTAAAAAAGATACTTCTGGCTGGGCACGGTGGCTCACACCTGTAATCGCAGCACTTTGGAAGGCCCAGGTGGGAGGATTGCTTGAGATCAGGAGTTTGAGACCAGATTGAGCAAGAACAAGACCCTGTCACTACAAAAAGTAGAAATATCAGCCAGTTGCAACAGTTTGTGCCTTTAGTCCCAGCTACTCAGGAAACTGACGCAGGAGAATCCCTTGAGTCCAGGAGTTAGAGGTTGCAGTGAACTATGATGATGCCACTGCACTCTAGCCAGGGTGACAGACAGAGTGAGACCTTGTCTCAAAAAATAATAATAATAATAATAATTCTACCAATGTCTTTCGAAATCTATCAAGTAAAAAAAAGAAAGAAAGAAAGAACAGAGAGATGGCTAGTTCACAATTCTTCCTCTTTTCTTTGCTATACTCCTTTCTCAATATGCTATTCAAATAAGGAAAAAAAATTAGAGACTTTCCCCTCCTACAACCCCAAATAAGAAGATATTAAAATGAAAGGTCTAACAAAGAGGACTGCATAACTATGCAAGTATTAAAAATTCATTAGTTCAGACATCATTTACTTAGTATATAAAGAACTAACCAAGAAATGGGACTTTTCTAACTCAGTCTGTAAGCACCAAAGACAAACTGGAACTGAGTTCAGGTTAGCATTAGAATGAATCCTGTAACAATGATGATCTGCAACCACTTTTCATCTATAAAACCAGCAATTTCATTATGTTCCAACCCAACAGAATTGTACTAGCAAGCGTAATACTTTACATTTGGTATACTAGTGGGGTTTTTCATCTATTTGTTAGTCATAACAACAAAGAATGCCAATTTGATTCGTCTCTATAAAAACTTTTCTAAACTCTGATGAACAAATAGGGAGAAAATATAATTAAAACCTGAAGGCTGAAAATTACCAGGGGGCTGGGGGGGACCTGAAGGCAGCCTCCTGCCTATAATTCCAGTACTTTGGGAGGCAGAGGTAGGAGGATTACTTGAGGCCAGGAGTTCGAGACCAGCCTGAGCAACACAGTGAGATCACATTTCTACAAAAAAATTAAAAATTAGCCCAGCATGGTGGTACATGCCCATAGTCCCAGGTTCTCGGGAGGCTGTGACAGAAGGATCGCTTGAGCCCAGGAGTTCAAGGCTGTAGTGAGCTAAGATTGCACCACTGCACTCCAGCCTGGGCAACAGAGCAAGACCCTGCCTTAAAAACAAAACAAAACTGATAGCATAATTATATACTAGCATTTTTACATGAATGACACACTACTTCTGCTTACCATAAAAAAAATACTCTAGGTCCATACACAAGTTGAAAAATCGCAAAAGCATGAACCTAATAATGCTGAAAAACAAAATGCCTTCTTTGTAAGCCAAGATCCGAAAGTGGCTACAATATTTTCCTAAATAGAAATCACCTTTGTTTTGGCAAAAAAAGAAAAGTAGGACTAGGGAAAAGTTATTATGCAATTAAAGAGGGAATGGTTGGTGGTTTCAATCATACTTCCTCCAGGGAAATGGATAACAGTGACTATCGAGGGAAGGAGATAACAAAGGAATCTGGAGAAATAGGGAGCGAGAAGAGAGGCATACCCTCTGTAATGAGTATGCATTAGAATCACCTAGCAGGCTTTTCTAAAAATATTCTCTTCTCACCCTATATTCTGATATTAATCCCCTTAACAATTTGAGAATCACTACCATACTCAGCCACTATTACATAGAAAGTATACTGTATCCTTAGGTACACTAGGGCATTTAAAAAAAGCCCAACACCTGTACCTAATTCTCACTCAATATACTGTAACATTCCCAAGGCATGCTTTGTCCATCTTTGTACTTGTAGCACTTGGCCCAGAACCTGGCATAACACTCAATGTTAATTAAATGAATCAATGAAAGAATGGCTTCTAGATCACAGAAATCAAATTGTTGGCTGAGTCGCAGGTTATATATACTGTTAACACAAAGAGCAACTAAGCTGCTATCTCCCTTTTGGCTAACAAAAACTGTAAAATGGTTGATAACAATGCCTGGCACATAATGATATATATTCAATGAATGAATGAATGAATTACTGAAAGAACAAACAAAAGAAACTCACTCTTGATGTACATGCAAGTAGAAGAGTTACATGTATACCTCTAAAACCTAAGACAATTCTCATTCTGGGACACATGAATGAATGAATGAATGAATGAATGAATAAATAAATAAAAACTAAGGCAACCCAATAGAAGGGGGTCCCATTAAAAATCCTTCTTGACTTTTATCAGTTGCCTACATTTATTCTCTATTATTCTATATTAATCCATTAGAAATAAAGGATTTAAAGAAGTTTGCACTTCCTAGCACCACTCACCAACTCACCTACTTAAGACATATTTCTTGAGAGCCTCCAATGGTGCATGAGAGACAATGTGGTAGGTAGAATGCAAAGAAGAGAAAAGTGGCTATTTTAGGCCAGATGACAGTCACGTTATTAAAAAATAAAAAAGTGAGAAGTAGGAAAGCAATAATTCTTTCCAGGCCGGGCGCGGTGGCTCACGCCTGTAATCCTAGCACTCTGGGAGGCCGAGGTGGGTGGACTGCTCGAGGTCAGGAGTTCGAAACCAGCCTGACCAAGAGCGAGACCCCGTCTCTACTATAAATAGAAAGAAATTAATTGGCCAACTAATATATATATAGGAAAAATTAGCCGGGCATGGTGGCACATGCCTGTAGTCCCAGCTACTCAGGAGGCTGAGGCAGAGGGACTGCTTGAGCCCAGGAGTTTGAGGTTGCTGTGAGCTAGGCTGACGCCATGGCACTCACTCTAACCTGGGCAACAAAACGAGACTCTGTCGCCAAAAAAAAAAAAAAAAAAAATAGTTCTTTCTAAACTCATGGTTCTTTCTAAACCCCTCTAGGGAACAGCAGGCATAATGTTCTCAAGATGTCAATAGTTAAGTCTCGTTGGGACTTCATACACCAACTAAATTTGACCACTTGTACCTTGGATATTTGCGAAGGATAAGCACACGCAGACGATCTTTAGCCTCTTCAATATTAAGTGGAAGTCTCTGGGAAAAACTCTCATCCTGATCCAACCGTGCGCAAAGATTCTGCAGTTTCATCAGAAGCCCAGATTTATCTTGTTTCCCAACTGAAACCCAATGTACACCACTTGGGAAACAACCTAGTGAGGAAAAGAATAATAAACTTAAGGCCCTTGAACAGGAGTCCTCCTTTGAATGATTTTATTCTTAAGCATCAGATTTACTTCAATCCCATCCCATCTTCAATTCCTCTTGATTCAGGCTGTAAACTGTGTGTAGATTATTGTTAAGCTTTATAGCCTGAATCTAAGAGAAGTTGAAGATGTGAAGAAACTGAAGTTTGGAGTAAATCTGCAGCTTATCAGGAAAATTTTGCCATCTTTGTCCTACATCATCAATGCTCACTACACAGCACAGTTTCTGAACCTCAGAGCTCTTGACTTTCTGGGCTGATAATTCTTTGTTGTAAGGGACCGTCCTGTGCACAATAGGCTGCTTAACAGCCTCCCTAGCCTCAATCTACTAGATGCCAGTAGGATTTCCCCTGACCAGTACTGACAACCAAAAATGTCTCCAAACATTGTCAAATGTCCCCTGGGGGGGCAAAATCGCCCCTGGTTGAGAACCCCTGATGTCCTAGAATACATAACTTTCTCATGGATTTTTTATACAGACTTAAAATAAAAAGTTAGATTTAAGTCTGGTTCTACTTCTTAATTGCTAAGCAATCTTTAGCAAATCACCTCATCTCGGTCTCCTTTATTATACCGGAACAAGACTGTCTTGTCCACCTATTTCAGAACTGCTATGAGAAATTAATGATATAAAATATATGAAATTTATTAACTCTAAAGGGTTACAACAGACAAGATATTAGTGTTATGGATTGGAGAGCACCTCACAAATACGAAGCTTTCAACTAGTAAGCACTTCTAAAGGTGGCCATTATTACTCCTGTTATCATCATCACCATTAAATAAGCTGTAATACATCTTGAAATATGTATTTTATTTACATACGTATCAGGAGCTAAAACTTAAGTCTTCATAGACTATAATTAATCAGCTCCACATAGATAAAAAAATATATGAAGGGTTCCTATGTGTAAAATATGGTAAACAGTAGCATTAGATCATACCAGTGGCATTAACCATATTTATATTACATGATATTAACAGTATAAAAAAAGCAAAAAAATAAACACAAATATAAATTAGTTAAATTACACTCACTGGGCCATTTATTCACTGATATTCACAAATAATTAAATACAAATATAAATCACTATTTTAAAAACGTAATTATCCAAAAGAAATGTTTGTATATAAGCACAAAGATCTATAAAGGACAGATATTTACTGAGCATTATTCTGACATTTCTACATATGTTAATTCATTTAATACTATCAAGCAGACACTAGTATTACCCCCATTTTGAAGATAAGGAAATACAGAAAGGCTGAGTAATTTGTCCAAGGTAACAAAGCTAATAATAAAGCAAAGAGCTGGGATTCAAACCTTCAGCAACAATGCTCAATTTCTACACTATTCTTCCTCCCAAGGATATTCACTGCAGAGCTGTTTGCAACAGGGAAAAGCTGGAAACAACCTGCAATGTCCATCTTAACCTACTGCTACACTGCAGGATTCCCAAGTCTACAGCAGGCCCAACTGAGGAAGGAAGAAGCTTTACATGAATGAAGGCTGGAGTATTAAACATGATTTGACATTTTGATTACTAAAATGAAACTTTTTATAACTTGAAGTGATGTAGGGATTTTGAACCTATAAAAAGGTCAAGGAAAGGAACAGTCTCAAGGAGAAGTTTGGCAGGCAATGAGGAAAAACAGTAAAGTTGTTTTTTTATTATATCCTACAAACCTCAATGCAATGGTTATATAGATAGCAATTAAATAAACCCAGTAAAATTGTCAAGGCTTATGATCCTGAATTTAAATTGGAATTCTTTTCCCCAAAGAAGAGGAAGTAATGGTCTGAATAAAGCCATGGGGAGCAAGTGGAAATACTTACTCCCTCTCTCAGCATAGAGAAAAAGGAGTCAGTTTTCACCCCAGATAAGAACTAAAGAGTACATGCGTGCTAAGGAGTGACTAACTGATGGACAATAAAATCTAGGCCCAAATGGGGTGGGGGGCACTGATAGGATAAATAGTGAGGATATTATGAAATCAATGGATGAGAAGCCTTGGTAGGTCTAACTACAGCAATAAGTTTAAAGAACAGAATGGGTGGAGGTGGTCAAAGAATAAAATTAAATGTTTAGTATTAAGATTCCAATAGTGCTATAGTTCTAGTAATGGCAAGGAGCAGGCTGCAATTGGTGACCAGGAAGTATATGGCTAAAAGGAAGTGAAGAAAATGGTCATGGGAGACAAAAATGTCAAGGAACCAAGAGGCCAAAACTTTGGATGACTCATCCACATAGATATCAAAATCACTAAGAATGCCAACAGAGAAAGGGCGTTAGAGGAAGTTTATAAGCTAAGAACTCCAATCATCAATGAATGAGAGAATGATGACATCACTGGAAAAGATCAGAGAAATGAACTTCAAAGAACTCAGCTGGAGAAGGGAGTATGAATGGGCTGGATGAGGCAACAGAAAGCAAGGACAATACCCATCCATTTCCCAGTGCTAAAGTACGTGGGACCACTTTTTTAAAGGTGGCTACGAAGAAAAAAGCATCTTCAGGAAACTGTAGTTTCAGATAAGGCAACGAGGTGGACATTCTAACAGGCTGATCACATAGAAGTGTTTCCTCCAGAGAAGGAGGCCTAGAGGGTATGGCAGAAAAGAATAGGAATGAGAGGACAATACCTAGACCAGAATTTGGCAATGTACTGAGTAGTGGCTGCATGAGAATCTAAAATATAATAAATGACCAAGAGACAGAACTCTGCAGTAACTGTAGAGACAAGACTGTGAAACCTGGTTTGATTATCAATGCCAGTATCTTAGAAGAAGGCAGATAAGTCCTATGGCTTTCCTCCAAAAGCTTCCTGAAGTTCCCTCAGGCCTCCTTCAGTGTACATCAATAGTTATGAAACAGCAAATCCCTGAGGCTTCACTTAATGTTATGGCTGTGCTTTGTGTGTGTGCGTATTTGTAAATACACAGAAAAAAGTTTGGAAAAATTCAGTCCAAACTATTAACCAAAATTGTCTCTGGGGTAGGATTTAGAATTTAGGAGAAAGGAAAGAAAGGCAAGTGAAGAGAATTTTTACTTATTTTTAAATGAAAATACTACTTTTATAATATTTACACAAACAAAAAAGGTATAAACTACTTGTTGCCTAAAGTTTTTTTTTTAATTGGTACTATTTAAAAATCATCCCAGCGTTAAAGAAAAGGCAAAGAAAGTATCCTGATGTAGTTACCTAGTAAACTCTTTGCCACTACAATGTAAGTACCTATTCCTAGGTCAAAGGCCTTTCTTTCTTAAATTAAAGCTTAAAATTAGGGTAAGTAAACACATGCAAGAAAAAGAAAACACTACCTGCTTTTAAGAAAAAAAGACAAACAGACCAAATGACCATCTGATCTGCAAATCTCCTGCCATCACAATATGACATTTAGTTAAATACTAAACCATTAATTCCACATTTCTGAAAGAATTGAAACATCTTGAGTATGGGCACAAGAGGGAGCAATTTAGCCTCAAATGAGGCTGCACTTATAACTCATTCAGAGAAACGTATTCAGAGAAAAATTGCCTTTCTTTAGAGAAAACTAACTCCACTCTACTCTCACATGAGGCTTATGCTGGCAGCAATTAATAATCTAATAGCATCAAAGAAATCTTGGGAAGGACAGAAGCAAATAGGTAGACAGCCTTTATAGAACGCTTCCATGCTTTAATAACTCAGCATATAAATATAATAGTGTAAATGGTTTAAAGGTATGTGAATGCTTTGCAATTTCCCTAAAAATAAGAAAAAAATTAAGGGTTGAACTTTCCAAAGAAAGTTGGGTTACTTAAAAATGTAAAGACGTAAATATTAAAGAACGTAATACTCTTTATACCAACCACCACCCTAACAAAAAATTTCCATAGGAACCACAGTTTTAATCAAGTTTGTAACCTTTACATTATCTGCATTTTTAAAGAAAAAGGTTTTGTACTACAATGAAATGGCAAAAAACAAAAACAAAAAAATCTGGAAATAAACTCCAGAAATTAAAATTTATTTTGGGAAAGCATCTACTATTGAGCTAATGGACATACAAACACAGACTCCAGAGATTAAAGAGCTAAATATGAACAGCAAAGCTATAATAGGACTACCTGCACAAAACTCAAGAACAAATTAGAAGATAAAAAAATTGATTAATTTGACATCAGAATGAAAGACTTCTCCTCTACTGAGAACATCCAGGACAAAGGTAATATAGATGGTAAATTAAGATAAGGTAGTTACAAAGTCTAAAATCAACGAAGTCTAATATCTAGAATATACAAGAAACTCCTAAAAACCAACAAGGAGGAAATCCCAATGGAAAAAAATAAATCATATTAATATAAACAAAATTTATTAAAAAAAGGAAATCTAAAAGGCTAATAACTTTATAAGGAAATGTTCAAACTTGATTACCAGAGAAATGCAAATTAAAAGATATCACTTTATACTGGCTGGCCTAGCAAAAATTACACAGCTGGATCACATCAAGTGTCATTGGAGAAGTGAGAATATAGGAGCTCCTCTCTACCTACTGGTGGAAATACAAGACTGGAGGGCAATCAAATTAGACATTTGTATATCCTATAATTTAGCAATTCTGTTCCTGGCTACACATACTCAAGAAATTCTCACTCCTGTAAGAGTTCAACCCACCTTTGCTGGAGCAGCTGAGTTGGAGACAATCTACACATCTATGGACTTAGGGCAAAGGCCAGTAAAACGTGTTTGATGCACTGAGTAGCAATTGAATATAACAAGTAATATGTATACATAGTAACAAGGATAAAATTAAAAAGATAGTGTAAATGGGAGATAAAAAATAGAATAAAATAATTAATACCATAACATCTATGCAAACAAAATATTTGCAAACAAACAACATATACATTTTATAAGAGCACATACAGTCACAGATATTTACAAGGAACATATATATTAATTACATTAGAAGGACTGCCTTCTGAGAAGGGGAAAGAAAATCAGAATGGGAAATTTTGAAAAGAAAATACACAAATAAATACAGTAAGAAGCCAAGACTACTACAATAATGAGCTGTGAAATAAAGAATGTTGATTAACTCAATCCTCTGAACTTGAGATCCCACAAAAGTATGAGGGATATGAATTAAACTCACATGTACTGGACAGTTGCTAGTATTTCTGGAATTTTCTCAAAACAAAATAGTTAAAATCTGTTCCAAGATAACAATTTATACAATATGACTCCTAAGTGTTTATTTATATAAATTGTGAATTTTAATCCCTAAGATTAATATTCATCACAAAATAATGTAGAACAATTTAAATGGGGGACATTCTTTTAATCCTATAAATTGGTATATTATAAATTTATATATTAAAGAAATTTCATCACAATCTTGAAAGGAAAACTTATTTCTTCACCCCAAAGGAACTTAAGCCATTTTTATCCTGGAATATCTTGTGATCAACTTTGCAGTAGATGTTAAAAAAAATCTTGGCTCCAAGACTTGCAAGGAGCTAAGTCCCAGGAAACTTCTCCGTAATAACAGAGGGGAAAAAAAAAAAAAACAAGGGTTAGGAATTGAGCATCCTTCCAACAAGAGTATAATCAATATTGCTAACAAAGGCTATTAAGTAAAAACCAAAGCCATGTGTGTACAATAAACATGCCCTAGCCTCCATCTTTCTAAATCTTGAGGCTTACAACTTATTCCATTCATTTTGTCATCTAAACTGCTGATTATGTCTTGTATAATAGAAGTTGGAACTTCTAGAATTCCTCTAGAAGTGTTATGCAGAGAGAACTCACTAATGAATGGAGGCCACCAAAAATTGATGCAGCTACACAACTAGTCCTGATGAATACCTTAAGAACCTACCAGACTCACTAAGAAGGTCAGTGATACACCTGCCAAACAAGTCTCAAGCCCTCTTCTGCCCACTATGCCCTTTTCACTCTAGTAACCACCTACTACCCTTTCTACCTTCCTGCTCTCCCATCCCTACATAATCTGCTGGGCAAACTTTTATTTTCTCCAAACTCCAGCAAAAATGTCATCTCATTCAGGAAGCCCATCCTGCCCAGCCTCTTCCTCCAGGGAGTTAACACGCCCTTCCTTTGTTCTAACTTTGTACCTTATACTTACTTCTACTGTTCAATTTATCATATATATCATAATTTGTTTACATGTCTATCTACCTTACCAGACTATAAAACAGACTAAGACACTTACCTTCTAAGAGAGAATGATCTCGAACAGCTTCTGCAGCTAATACAGACTTCCCACAGCCTGCCATTCCATATATGGTGACCCATCCCGGTTCACCATTCAATTTGAAGAGCTTCTGCTGAATTGTATTCACCAGTTTCTTTCTAGTAACAAAAACGACCGGCCTCTGTGGTACTCCACCTTCACATAAAATTGTCCTTACTGAAATTCAAAATAAGCATGAATGAATAATCTCTCCGTGAAATGGTTACTCAGGTAACACCAAAAAAAAAAAAAAAAAAAAAAAAAAAGAGGGTATGGCTGAGGCTTAGCCTCAGAATTTCCAAAAAAAAGTAAGAAATCTGGCTAGTGTATTAACTTCAACTTTCTGATTTCTCAGAACATTGAAAGCAAAAGTAAACACATACTCTTGAAGATGTCTATCAACAATGGAAGTCTCCATCTACACCTGCTCTTACTCATCCTATCACTCTTTGACTCTCCAGTCTTTCTCTCATATTGAAGACTAGGAAGGAGAGTATAAAAGGAAGAATATGGAATTCCTTTCAAGAACATAGATTTCTATAAATTCTTATTCTTCCCACAACTCTATAAACACACAGCAAAACATATCTAAGGACCTCATTATCTCCAAAAATGTAGGGTACACATATTATCTTAGCAATAAACAGTTCACTGGGCAAGAAGAAAATGTGAAGTTAATATGGATGCAAATAAGAAATATTAATATTTAAATTGAAACCATTACAATTTTCACATGCATTTCAGAGAACTGATCATACTACTTCAGAAGATTACATCTACACGTAAGACAAATCTGCAGCATTGTCATCATTGTGATAGCAATGCAATAGAAGGTATCATGGATACAAACCATATGTAGTTTTCTACCAACTGAATCTTTGTCACTGGAGAGAAGAGACAACAGGAATTCCATCTTGGAGAAGGGCAGCAAGATCTTTATATCCTTCATGGAGTAGAATATAGAGATATATGTAGCAATATTATCTTTTTAAGTATCATTTTAATTAGCAAAGCTGCTCTTTTCTGTTGATAGACTAAAAAAAAAAAAAAAAAAGTTATTTAGTATACAATAATGAATATGTTTGACATACATGTAGAGACCAATGCAAGTTCTAAATTCTAAAAATTCTACAAGATGCCTCAGAGGGCTTTACCTCATTTCTTACTTCTTCTTCCTCCAATGTTGTTAAAACTCCTCACCAACCATGTGATCCATGATGTACGTGTCTTGATGTCCTTTTCCAGAGCTGCTTTATGTTGAAGCAAACAATTCGAATTTGCGTCCATCCTCCCTCAAATTTTTCTCTGTCTGAGCTGTCAACCATGAGGCTACAGATAATGCACCAAAATATTTGTCAAGCCAATAAATATATGAAAAGATGTATAACCTCTCTGGTAACCAAAAAATGTAAAGACTATTTTTTTTTTTGCAAATACTTTTTAAAGTGACAAAATCCAATGCTTGAAATGTACAAAATTCCAATGCTTGAATGTATGAGAAAAAAAGGGCATACTTATACATACTTGAGGAGAGTAAAAAATTGATGCAACTCTTCTGGAAGGTAGTATAAGATCTATTCTTATAAATATCTTCAACCCAGGAATCCTACTTCTGGAATTTACCTCAAGGAGACATTCACAAATGCATGCAAAAATTTCCACAAAAAGGTTAACAGAGAGTGTTTAAGTGAGAAAAAAAAATGACACAACCTAAATGTACAACATTCTAATATGGATTTAAAAGGGTACGTATATAAAATGGAATATTATACAGCCATTAAAATTATAAAACACGGCTGGGCGCAGTGGCTCACGCTTGAATCCTAGCACTCTGAGAGGGCGGGTCAGGTCAGGAGTTCGAAAACTAGCCTCAGCAAAAGCAAGACCCCATCTCGACTAAAATAGAAAGAAATTAATTGGCCAACTAATATATATAGAAAATATTAGCCAGGCATGGTGGCGCAGGTCTGTAGTCCCAGCTACTCGGGAGGCTGAGCAGTAGGATGCTTGAGCCAGAGTTTGAGTTGCTGTAGCTAGCTGATGGCATGGCACTCACTCTAGCCTGGGCAACAAAGCGAGACTCTGCCTCAAAAAAATAAATAAAATAAAATTATAAAACACATATCTTTATGTACTGACATGGAAAAGATAACATTTCAACTGAAAAAAATAGAAATGTGGTCCTATATACAACAACAAAAACATGTGTTTATCCCCAAAATATACAGAGAACTTTAGAAGTTTATTCATCAAAATGGTTGGGTTACTTCTGAATAGTAAAATTTGGGATTTTCCTTTTTTGTCCTTTTCTATATTGTCTTAATTTTTTTAATACACATTACTGTTTTTTACAGTAAAAATACTTCTCTTTTTTGAGATAGGGTCGCTCTCTGTCACCCAGGTTAGAGTGCAATGGCTCGATCATAGCTCACTACAGCCTTGAATTCCTGAACCCAAGTGATCTTCCTGCCTCAGCCTCCAAAGTAGCTAGGACTCCAACCATGCTGGGCTAATTTTTTTTTTTAGAGGTGAGGTCTTACAATGTTGCCCAAGCTGGTCTTGAACTCCTGACCTCAAGCAATCTTCCCACCTCACCTGTCTAAAGTGATTACAGCCATGAGCCACTATGCCCAGCCAATACTTTTTTAAAAGTAAGACTTTATAAAATAGTGATCATACTGAAGTCCTAATGTTTAGAAACTTTTTTTCTTTATCCAACATATGACTGAATAGAGCATTGTCTTGATATTCAGTATTAGTTCGGTCTTCATTAGTAAACACATTTCTCACAAAGTACAGGAAATACTCTCTAATGTCATTTCTTGGATTAAGAGGACACAAAGAAAGAATAATATTCGTTACAGTAAAATACTTTAAGTTTCTACCAACTTTATTTCAAACATAATGCGAATTTTTCCATGGGTATAAAACCCAGTTCAGAATGCCTGCAAGTTTTTAAAACAATAACAGTACTCCATCCACCTATACAATGAAAGAGTACCTAAATAGGCTTATTAATTTATTCATTCATTACACATTGGAGCTCCTCAGGTGCCAAGCACTGAGACTACAGAAAAGATTAGGCAATATCTCTGAAGGAATTCACAATCTAGTAAAAGAAAAAGAGATAATTAGAATATGAATGTTTGAAATGTAAAAATAGAGACAGGCACAAGTAATTCGAAGCTCACAGAAGAGGCGCAATAATTATCAAGCTCCAAAAATGACTATGTTTTTGAAAAGTTACCAAATGCGGTACTTGCAAAATTAGGGAAGTAGGGCATTTGCCTATGTATGTCAAGATTAAGGCTGGACAGTGTGGCTCACACCTGTAATCTCAGCACTACAAAAAATAAAAAAAATTAGCCAGGCATGGTGGCATGTGCCTATAGTATAGGCTACTTGGAAGGCTCAGGCAGGAGGATCACTTGAGCCCAGGAGTTCCAAAATACGATGAGCTACGATTGCACCACTGCGCGCTTCAGCCTGGGAGTCTGAGTGAGGAATGAGACTCTGTCTCTAAAAAAAAAAAAAAATTATTTTTTAAATTCACAAAATGCCCAGTACTGGCATGAAATCAACAGGCACAAGTTATGATTAGAATCAAGGGTATCATATTTTTAAGTGTTAATGACTTTCTTATTCTCTTAAACATAAAGCCTTCCTCAATTTATAGTAATGAAATTCTAGTTGACAAAACAAAAATGATTTTAGGTTATATCCAATAATTGCTAAGCAAACGGACACTCTTTGGCCTTCTGAAACTAATTTCCAATTTTACTTAGCCCTATTCGATTTAAATGTGTAAATTTTAAATGTTTTAGAACTCTGCACAAAATGAAATATTATGAATGAATTCTACAAGTGTCCCACCTTTTGTAACCACATCAAAATGGAAAGCCAAAACTCTTCACAGATGTACAATACCAAATACAGTGTAAGTTCATCCATGAAAACCATAACAGTTTACTACTTCCTCGTTTAATTTCTCTTCCTGGTATAGGAGCAGGATGGTTATCAAATACTCCATGTCCCCGAATTCTCAGTCCTTGAAATCTGCTACTGAGCCTTCGGGGAACTGGGCTGGGGGAGGAAAGCGAGGAGGTAAACTTACCCAAACCCTGGCACCGAGGTCCTACGGGGAAGAGCAGCCCTGCGGGGACAGACTGGGAAATCGAGGCTGGTGGACGGGAATAGCAAAGTGGCTTTCGGCGTGGAATTCAGGTTCTCCGCGTAACCTGTGCCCCAGGGCAGGTCTCCGCCTCACAAGCGCCTCCCCTGGGTCTCCGGGGACCTCAGACGGGCGGAGAGGTGGGCGTCCGCCCCACAGCCAGACCCCACAGTCCGGGGCGCCCAGGGGAGGCCCGGCCAGCGGGCCGCGCGCGGGTGGCCCCTGGCCCTGGACACAAAGGGAGGCGGGCCGCTCCGCCCGGCACTACCTCCCCGGTCGCAGCTACAACCCGCGGGAGCCCGGCGCCACTGCGGACGCCGCCGCGGCTACTTCAAGTCTTGGCGGGTCGCTGACGGCCCAGCCTCCTCACCTCCGGCTCCCTCACCGCTTCTGCCCAGGGGTAAAACATCAGCGTCCACTTGTCACCTCCTCCTCGCCGCCTCAGGACCGCGGAGCAGTCAAACGCCGGGCCCGCCCAGCCCGGACAGCGCGCGCCCACGCATGCAAATAAATACACCCCGAGCCCCTTTGGGCGGCCGCCGCCGCCGCGCGCTCTCGCCCCGGCTTGTGCCCGCGCGCGTACGGGGAAGCGCCCGCCCACCCCGCGGCGTGGCCGTGGCTACACCATAGGGACGCGCCGCGTTCCTACGAGGGGAGGGCCGGGCGGCGGCGCGCTCGACGTGGCGCGCGCGGCCCCGCCCCGCCCCGCCCTGCCAGCGCGGGTCCCGGCGGCCTGCGCGCGCCCGGGAGTTTCAAGTTCCTCGGGTTTGCGGCAGTTTCGCAGAGGAAGCGGGTGGTGGGGTCTCCGCCTGCCGCAACTGGAGGGCGTAGCACACGGGTAGCGGAGAGGCGCCGAGAAGCAGCGAGGATGCCCGGGAGAGGGAAGGCGTCGGTTTCTGGGCGGCGCCAAGTCTGTGAGGGGGCGCGGTCACGGCCGAGGCTGCCCTAGCGCGCCAGGGCGGCCACGTCCCGCTCCCCCCGGTGAGGAGGCCGCCGCGGTGTGTAGTCCTAAGGGTCTGTAGGCATGTCCGAGGTGAAGAGCCGGAAGAAGCCGGGGCCCAAGGGAGCCCCAGCGGAGCCTGAGAAGCGGAGCGAGGGCGGAAAGAGCCCCGAGGCCCGGGGCGGCGGAGGCGGGGGCTGGGCGGACCCCCGGACGGCGCTGAGCCTGCTGTCGCTGGGGACGTGCCTGGGCCTGGCCTGGTAAGTGGACGCGAGGCCGCCCGGCCGTGGTCGGCCTCCTGTGCGACCCGCTCCTGGGGTCCCACCCGGCTCGGCATCCCGCTGACTCCGACCCCCCAAGCTTGCGGCTTCTGTTAGTTTGCTTCGACCCTGAAGGAAGGACACAGCCCAACTTCTTTTTTTATTTTGCTCATTTCTGGTAACTCATTCGTCCTCTGTGTTAGTAGCATGCCCCTGTCACTCAACCGGAGTTGAGACTAAGGTTTGGAAACGAGTCATCCATTTCCTAAGAGCTGTAGATTTTATGAAGCACCTACTACGTGTCAGGAGCTTCCACGGTGTTATAAACTGTTACTTCCTGTCCACTGTGCGGTTGTCAGGGACAAGTTTGCTCCCCACACATACACACACACCTGCCCCATAAGCGCCTAACGGAAACGTTTGCAACTTTAATCAAAACAGTTCATTATGATTTCAAAGCAACGTTATAGCAAAATTTGGATGATTTCTCCTATTTTGATGTGCATACGTCTTTTTTTAAGTCACAGATTGAACTTTAAAGCTACAAAAGTATAGCGCTTGGATTCACTTAAAACAGTTACAGTTTTTAAACTAAATAGCGATATATTGGTGTCATTAGGAAAAGTGAATATTAGAAATAACTTCACAACTAATTTATTGGCTGGGCGCAGTGGCTCATGCCTGTAACCCTAGCACTTTGGGAGGCTGAGGTGGGAGGATAACTTGAGACCAAGAGTTTGGGACCAGCCTGAGTAACATAGCGAGACCCCATCTCTATAAAAAAAAATATATATATAGAGAGAGAGAGAGAGAGAAATTAGCTGGGTATGGTGGTACGCACCCTGTAGTCCTAGCTACTTGGAAGGCTGAGGCAGGAGGCTCACTTGAGCCCATAAGTTTGAGGTTACAGTGAGCTATTATGATACCACAGCACTCTAGCCTGGGTGACAGAGTGAGACCCTGTCTCAAAAAAAAAAAGAAAAAAAACCTCCCCAATCATTTTCTTTAGGAATAACCTATTTATTTTTAATAACAAGACTGTCACTTTAATAGAATTTCCCTCCATTTCCCACCAGCTTATAAAGTATTTAGTAAGAGAGTTGTCAGTCTTCCGGAGTAATAGGATTCTAGAAGAGATCCTTGACATCTACAACATTTCAAAGCTAGTGCTTTTGGAATTATAGTTTACTGGTGACTCATCCCGACTCGTGTATTTTTCCAAGTTAATATTTGTTAATAAAATAATAAAAGATTTGTTATAAGATGAAATGATTGTTAAATGCTCTCTCCAAAAATATAGAATTGTTTATTGTACTAATATGGAATATTTTAATTTTGGTACTAAAAGAATAAGTGTACTGAATTTACTGTTTTAAATAAATTGCTCTTATGCCTTAAAATGCAGGACCTTCTTTAAGTAAATGAAAAACCCTTTTTGTATTGGGGAGTTAGTTACGGTCCTGGGAAAAGCTCTAATAGGAAAATAAATTTTAAGGGAATAAACCTTGAAAAGCAAATGCTTCACCTCAGGAATTTACTGTTAGTGATTTTTGTCTTAAGTGGCTTCAAAGACAAAAACAAGTTACATTAGGAAGATTTAATTTGAGCTATGTCTTTGGAAAATGATACAACAATGGTGAATCAAAAATTATTTTTTAAATGGGAAGATTTTATACTTGTTATTAAAATAGTTGACTCTTTTGTTTGTTTGTTTGTTTGAGACAGAGTCTCACTTTGTTGCCCAGGCTAGAGTGAGTGCAGTGGGGGGTCAGCCTAGCTCACAGCAACCTCAAACTCCTGGGCTCAGGCAATCCTGCTGCCTCAGCCTCTCGAGTAGCTGGGACTACAGGCATGTGCCACCATGCCTGGCTGATTTTTTCTATATATATATTAGTTGGCCAATTAATTTCTTTCTATTTATAGTAGAGACAGGGTCTCGCTCTTGGTCAGGCTGGTTTCAAACTCCTGACCTTGAGCAATCTGCCTGCCTTAGCCTCCCAGAGTGCTAGGATTACAGATGTGAGCCACCGCACCCGGCCAAAAATAGTTGACTCTTAGTTGCTCTTGTGAAATCTTTTGCTACAGAAATTGAAGTATATATACTTTGATAGATATTTATAGCAAAATATTTGTGGTAAGTTTGGGAATAATTTGACATGGTGGGACATTTGTAAGCATTTTCCACATAAAAAGCAAATATTTGGCATCTTTGAGTACTTAAAAGTGCACTAGATTTATAATAAAGCCATACTTTAGCATCTAAAAGTCTGCCCATCAAACCTTTAGTAAATGCTTACCACACTGACACTATTCTGGTTGTTAAATTACAATAGTGTGTATGTGTGCCCATGTATATACTCTTAAACTCTGCTTATCCATCTTCTTACTCTGTCAAATTAAGTTGGGAGAAAAAAGTCTGAACTTTTCTGCTGCCCAGAGAGGATTTCAAGGTATCACATTCTAGCAGTATCTTCAGATCTTTCATATTTGGATCCTTGTTTGAAAAGAATATAGAAATAATACATAACAAATTCTAGAATGTGTTACTTGAATGTCTTGTCTCTGTTAAACAAAGTCCTGATATATCATCCCGTATCAGCTTCACAGTAAATATTGGCTCTAATAGTTGCCCCAAGCTATGTGGCTTGAGTGTCAGTGTGTAGGCCTCCTTTTTAAACTGTTGAAGAAAATTTTCAGATAAGAGGATTGAAGATACTCTACTTTTAGAAAGTTAAAAAGTTGTGAAGTTACTAAACAAGACACAAAACCTTTCACATAAGCTTATTTAATTATATAGAAATTTAATCAACTGGAAATTCCATTGTGAAAATTTTAAGTTTCTTCTGGAAATTTCAATAGATTTCTAAATTGCTTTGGTAAAAGTTTTTTATAGCATTTGTTATAATTATGTACAAGAAGTTCTTTAAACAAATCATGTCTCCAGATTTTTTCTCTATGACCCAGTATAACTATAAATCATCTATGCTGTAAAATCTTGGCTGACTTCACTTCTAGCTTCTTTCTTTCTTTTCATTAGTAGAATTTTATCTAAAAGATAGGGTTGTACTTTAAATGCCTTACTTTTTAAAAATGGAATATGGTTAGTATTTTCCTGAACATTAGTTATTGTGCTAAAAATAAGGCTGTAGATGGTATAAAACATAGGCTAAATGGGAACTGACCCTAAAGTGGCCTTGGAACTTTCTTTCTTGCAGAAGATCCATAACAATGGCTTCTTTTGATTTATTTGCCTTTTTCATTATTGGATTGAAATAGAACCAGAGGAAATCTTGTATTTATAACTCCTCAATCAGCTGTCTATCACCATCGAAGGATCGTAAAGGAGCTGTGCAGAGGCAGCACGCACTGATCATTACCACAGTGCATTCCAGGGAAAGTTACACCATTCATTACCACAGGGCCCTAAGTCTATATGAAGTTTCTACAGACTGCAGTGGATTATGAAGGAGTCAGGAAGATTCCTTTCATAAGACCTTCATGAAAAGTAGCCTGGGACCCTTTCTCCTATATCTAACACTTTCACAAGGTCTTACCTATGTGATAATTAGAAGAGGCCCCCAAACAGGATAAGAAAGTCCTTTTCCTTTAGTGAGTTATAAGTGGTCTAATCCATCTAATCTATCCCTCATTTGCTATAAACCCAACCTGGGTTATGCTTAGTGTTGAAAGAGGAACAGGCCTGGGGTTTCTATCAAGTGCAAGTAGAAGGGAACTCTGCTTCTTTATACAACCATAGGTATATAGGAGGGATGGAAGAGCAGCTGCACAAAATAGTCCAAGAGAATGGGCCAAGGTACTTAAAGAGAATAGCTAAAGTATTTTGTCCACAGAGCTTTTATAAATTGGAACCTATTTAATATCGTCAATGATGCTGTAAAGTATTATTATCCTCCCTTTACAGATGAGGAAACAACAACAAAGATAAGTTACTTAACTTGCCCAAGGTGCTTATACAGCTAGTAAATGACAGAGCCCAGGTAGTCCAGCTACCCACTTAAATAGAATGATATGTTCCTTCCCTTTGATACTAATCCCAAAAAGAAGGCCAAGATTCTAAATACAGAAACCCCTAGTCCTTTTCTTATAGTCCTTTTCTTCCTTCTACTAGAAGCCGTACCCCTTAGCAGACCCTTTTTTGTCTTTTACCCTCATCTAAAGAGGAATACTGGGAACTGCTCCTGTTAGAATATGCCTCTGACTCATAAAAAGGAAATACACCTCATGCACTAATATGGACGCATATTCCTTAGTGTTAAATGAATTAATATTTATCAAGCACTTAGAATAATGTCTGGCACATATGAATGAAAAATAAAATGTATTTTAACTCTTCACCACAATACAGACCATTTCATATTTTTATCACTAGTGCTGCCAATTTTATGCTTATTTTTTCTATATGCACTATTCATATGTAGGAAAGGTGAATCTTTTATTTTTTTTATTTTAGTAAGAGTCTAAACAAAAAGAATCAGAGATGATATTTCCACTTATATGACATAATTTTCTTCAAGCTTTTGTGTAATGCTTGCATTTGGAGAGATAGGCAACATTAAATATATTTAATAAAATTAAAAATCCTGTAATGTGTTTTTTATAATGGATCAACTTTCACACAGAAGTCTCTTATAATAACAATGTCATTCAGAATAAACTTGCTGATCTAGAGTATAAATTCATGATGTAACACTATGGAGTAATGGATGATAAAACTAGTCCCTGAAATTAACTCTTTTTTTAGGCTGCTTTCTCTATTTGGTCTCTATCTGCTAGTCTCAGATATGCCTATACTCTGAAAAAAAAAAATCTTAGAAGCCAAAAATGAAAAAAGAATTATGTTTACCCATCCATCTTTGAAAATTAGGATAATAGTGTTTCCTAATAACCAGAAGTTTTAAAAGTTCCTATTAGCACACAGGAGAAAAGTCAATCTGGACTAATTGGAATTATAATTATCTCATATGATAGACATTAACCAGCATCATGAAACTAATATTTCATCTGACATTGTAAATATTTGATTAAAAAGCAAAAAATCTATTTTAGCTTTGGACAATTTTTCAGCAACAGTCTAATGATGCCATTTATGAATTCAAAACATCACTTTTGCAAACGTGCACAAAGGTCAGATAGCTGCACTTAGAAAAGTCCTTCAACCCTCCATTAAGTTTGGGATCTTTAGATATTTGTCTTTCTGTGGAAATGAATTTTACAAAACATGGTCAATTAATGGTTCCCAATTGGTTGTATACTCAGATTACCTGGGAACCTGTTACAATTTCCAATATCCAAGCCACATCCCAGACCATGTAAGTCAGAATCTTTGTGGGTGGGACCCAGGCATAGATTTTGTTAAAACTGGGAGGTGATTATAATATGCAGTGAAACTTTTGAACTACTGGTCTAGGTACTGTGATTCAGGCAGGCACTTGTCATGGTTCTGCTCCACTGGGCTTTTTGATGATTCAGTATACAAAGAATTTCAACTGCTGTTTTTTTCTGAGCCTGAAGAATTGAGTTAAAGTAGATATACAAAATGGTATTAGATCCAAGGCATTTCTCTTGTACTTAGTCATTAAAATCCTGTATAAACAGATGTTGATTTATTGTTTTAAAGATTGGGGCAGCTTTTTTGTACTTGTACTCTTCACTGTTTACCAGATGAAGAATAAACTCCAATTTTAGAATGACATCTAAAGTATACTTATATAGTCGTATTGTTGAGTATAACCAATTGAGTTTATACACCTTGCATTGCATGTGTATTGTTGTCACTTTGACGGTGGCTCTCTTGTTTTCATATCTTTCTTTTTTATAATCCTGCTGTTATTTTGCAACTTCTAGTCACTATCATCTCTCTCTTCCTCCCACCCCATTGCTTTTCATTAGTCTACTCTTCTACATTTTAGTTTCAAAATACTTTTAAAGGTAACTCCTATTTCTCCTATATTTCAACATAAAAACACTTTTATTACCCAAATAATGGCCTTCAGAAAAATAGTAGAGATCTCATTTTAAATTAAATTGTTCACCACGTCTTCCTCTAAAATATTTCCTGTGCAAACATCTATCACAGATATAACACTGTCTCACTGGGCTGTGAACTGTGGACAAGGGGAGTGTTTTACTCATCTTTGCATGAACTAAACTGATACCACATTGTAGACTACCTGAATGTTTGTTGAAGCAAACTAACAAAAGCTGCAGCTATCTGTACCCGAACCTATGTTGTTGTTACCAGAAGTGGGTTAATACTCCTCTGAATTTCAGGTTTTAATGACTATGAATTAGGCATTAGTGATTTTCTTTTTTCTTTTCCAGGTTTGTATTTCAGCAGTCAGAAAAGTTTGCAAAGGTGGAAAACCAATACCAGTTACTGAAAATAAAAACCAATGAGTTCCAAGGTCTTCAAAGTAAAATCACTTTAATTTCAGAAAAGGTAATCATTAATTGATTTATCTGGGGAGATTTTTCCATTTTATTTCCCTACTATCATTCCTCTATCCCAGCTCAGAACGTCTTTCTTCCTGCCTCTTAGACCATTATATTTTAACTCTCACTGGTCTTCCTACCTCTTGACATTCTCCTTCTAATCCAGTTTAGACTCAGATTGCATTTTGAATGATATGCAAATCATTAATGATCATTAGGCCATCTAAAGATTTTTTTTTATGCTTGTATAACAGTTTCTATTGTTGAAAAAGGTCAGTATGTTCATATGGGCATGATATTAATTTTCTACTTAAGTATCAGGTATCTAGAATATTGAAAATATGATTGATCTTTAGATATAAGATTAGAATATAAACAGCACTTATTGGGAAAAGATCAATTTTTTCCTTTCCACTTTTTTTTTGTTGTTGTTGAGACAAAGTCTCACTATATTGCCCGGGCTAGAGTGCTATGGCATCAGCCTAGCTCACAGCAACATCAACTCTTTGGCTCAAGCGATCCTTCTGCCTCGGCCTTCCAAGTAGCTGGAACTACAGGCATGCACCACCATGCCCGGCTAATTTTTTCTATATATTTTTAGTTGGCCAATTAATTTCTTTCTATTTTTAGTAGAGACAGGGTCTCGCTCTTGCTCAGGCTGGTCTCAAACTGCTGACCTTGAGCGATCCTCACACCTCGGCCTCCCAGAGTGCTAGGATTACAGGTGTGAGCCCACGCCCAGCCTCCTTTCCATTTTTTAAGGATATATGTATATGCATGTAAGAATGACTAGCCTAAGAGTAAGGTACTAATCCTATAACCACATAAGAGTTCTAATGAAAATTAAAATAACACCATGTCTGTGTTGCTTTTCTTCAAGTTGCTAATGCTGATTTCAACCAGATTCGTTATTACTGTGATTCTTAGAAATGTGAAACAAACATTTTTGTAACTCTCACACAGCTCAGGAGAGGGTCAGCTGTGATCACTAAGGCGGCATGTGGGCCTTGTCTAATTACTAAGGACCAAGTTATCATTGGGAAATATGCCTTATTTGTTCATTTATTCATTCACTAAACTGTTAATCATGTCATAAGGTAGACAAGGATTTGTGCTTGGCACCAGGGTGGGCAAGGATGTTATAAAAATAGAGATGAAAAGGAGGGTCTAAGTCCCTGCAGCTTCATGCACAGGATGAGCATATAATCCCCCCAGAAAAGAAAAGCCATGGATGAAAATTAGTGTCCCTCACACATGCCAGGGGACTCCATGGAGGGTGAGTTTAGGGGCTTCAGGGAAGGCAATACAAAGGAGTTGGTATTTTGACATAGGACTCAAGTTGGAATCTGGTTGTAGTTTTTGGGGATGCTCTAACATACTGATAGAAAAAATTCCAGGAGCTCAAAACATCATATGTTCCATTAAAAGCTATTGAAAAACAAATTTAGAACAAAGTTAGATTTCCTTTTTAAATGAAAAATTTTCTTGGCAATTAAAATGCTTTTGAAGCAAATTTTAAAATATTATCATAGAATCCAGAAATATTCAATCGTTGCATAGCTCTTTCTCTCCTAGTTTGCCCTGAGAATAATTTAATAAGCACGGCCTTTCACAATACTGGAAGGATTGGAGGTAAGAGGGTAGGAGGCAAAAATAGCTAGATGTGGGCTCTCATCACAACTGTGTGACCTTGGGCAAATCACTTTAACTTCTCTTAGCCTCTGTTTCTTCATTTATTAAATGAGAAATAAGATTTTTGTAAGGATCAGATAAGATGTAAGTCCTTAAGGTTGTCAACAGGTACTTAGAAACTGTGACTTGAGTGGAATGACACACAAGTCCTTGAACAACATCATTTCGATCAATGTCCTTTCGTTATAACGTTGATGCAAAAAATATTGGTTTTATTATTTGTCATTTACCATAAAGTTGTAGTTTCCAAGAACCTATCAATGATGTTATGTAACAATTTAGTAGATATACAAATTCTTTGCAAACGTTCAAGCACTGATAAATTCAAGGTATTAGGTCTTTTTTAAGAAAATGAAAAGCTATTAGAATATATTGGTGGACCACAAATGCTAGTTACTGTGGTATAATAGTCACCAAATATTTTCAGAATAAATCTTGAGGTTTATTATCCTACAAAGTTGATCTTGTACTACCTGGAGTGAACTGTCTTCAGATTACAGGAATGCTCTGGTGAACAGCCTAAACAAGAAACTACCTTAGGTGAAGATAAGTTTGCCTCTTCAAAATACTGCTAGTCAACAAAGTGACTATAATCAATAATAAGTTAGAGTATACTTTAAAATAACTAAAAGAGTGGAATTGAAATGTTCCTAACACAAGGAAATGATAAATGCCTGAGGTGATGGATACCCCAATTACCCTGATTTGATTAATTCACATTGTATACCTGTGTCTTCATTGGGGTGGGCCCAGAAGACTTAAAGCCATTCTTTTTCCTAAACATCAACAAATGAATTCTTTGTACTCTGAAATGTAGTGGGCTACAAAAAGACAAAAGACGTGGTCTCTTACCTGAGGAATTGAGAAGCTTTCACATCTTCATCACCTGGCTAATTCATCAGACTGTTAATAAGTCAGATTTCAGAGTCGTTTCTAAGCCTTTCCTCATTTTCCTCCTGACTTCCTATCTCTCCCTAAGCATCTACTGCCCCCTGTACTAATTGTGTCATGATACTAATCATAATCTATTTGTGATTTTGTTTGTTGTTAGTCTCCTTTATTCCTCATTAAAGCAAACACTGCATTTTTTATCTCTATTTCCCTGGTACCTAATAATGGAACTAGTTCACAGTGGACACTCAATAGATCTTATTGGGACTCTAGCATATATGTTGTAGAAGATCCAAAACACTATCTCCAAAGGGAGGGGGTGGGAGAAAAAAAGATGAAAGAGAAAAAGCAAAACACTATCTCCCCTGGGAAATCAGGGACTATGTTATATTTATATTTTATATCCAGTGTCTAACACAGGGTAAACACTCAAAATTTTTGAATTAAAGTGCCAAATATGTGGCAAATACATAATACAGTAGGTGCTACAGGAATTCAGGCTGCCAGAGCTAGGGCTATGGAAGATGCTGTGCTGAGGAGCTGAGATCTGGTCAGAGCATTGAAGTGAGGACAGAACTAAGTAAAGAGGAGAGAATAGCATAGGGAGAGGTTATAGAATTTGGAACTTTATCCTAAAAGTATTAGGAAACATCAAAGATTTTTTAACAGTATACCATGATATGCATAACAGGTTTTAAAAGTTTAATCTGGTAGTAGTGTATAGGATGATTCAGAGAGGAAGTGACTAGAAGCAGATATTAGATAATATTCCTAGAACACTTTCCTTGATTTTTGAAGTCTGGCTTGGGTCTCCACCCAAGTGCTTCCATAGCTTTTCCCCGGTCATAGTACATACAAATTTGTATTTCTCCCCAGTTAAAATAAGCAGTTGAAGGGCCGAATTGTGGCTAGTTCAGCATTATATCTTCAACACAACACTACAAACATTTGATAAATTAATGATCATTTCTAGATCTTCCTGTAGCCTCTAGAGCTATTTTCTGTATTTGAGTGTAGACTAAAAGAGGTCCATGACACAGCCTTTCTATATATCAGATACATATTAGGTATCCGGGGCCTACCATAATTTACAGATATTCAGAACACTTAGAACACTTTACTGTTTGATTTGATTTATCATGATAAACTGAAGGGGAGATTTTATTCATTTTTGCCTTTATATCTGTAAGATCTGATTCTACTACTTTCTCTGCAAGAAGTTCGTCAAAAAATTTTTTTCAGGCAGAAACTCTTTCAGAATCATAGGATTTAAGAAAGATAACAAATTTTATACTAAATTGTAGTTTCTAAAAAGCCAAATAACCATAAAAATGACATCTAACTTACTTTCCCTTGGAGTAAAAAAGAAAATTGCGATAGACTTCAAGCTTCTTTAACATAATTTTTCTCTCAAATATGCCTCCATAAAAATGCTCAAATATCTAGGATTATATGTTCAGGTGTATACTTTTCTGACATAGGGCTAATCTGTTAATTTGTGAAAACTACTATTACAGTAATAAATGTTTTTGTCAGTATGATTCTGATATACTTGGATATTTTAGACATCTTCAGAATTTGGCATGTTATGCTCCTGATTATTAAAGTGTGTTTCTCTAATACAAAAATTATTAAGTAGCCTTGGGAATTGTTTTGTGTTATAAATGCAGCTTGAGTCTACTGAAAGTATCCTGCAGGAAGCTACATCATCCATGTCTTTGATGACCCAGTTTGAGCAGGAAGTATCCAGCCTCCAAAGTATCATTCAAGACATTCAAAATAGTGAAGAGATGCTCACTCAAAAGATGCAAAACCTTAATGAGAAATTCCGGAATATTACAGATTTCTGGAAGAGAAGCCTAGAAGAAATGAATGTTAATACAGACATTTTCAAATCAGAAGCAAAACATATACATTCTCAAGTTACTGTACAAATTAATTCAGCTGAGCAAGGAATAAAATTACTCACTGAGCGGCTAAAAGATTTGGAAGATAGCACACTAAGAAATATTAGAACAGTAAAAAGACAAGAAGAAGAAGATCTCCTGCGAGTAGAGGAGCAGCTTGGATCTGATACAAAAACAGTTGAAAAGTTAGAAGAGGAACAGCATGCTCTCTTTGCCAGAGACGAAGATCTGACTAATAAACTTTCCAATTATGAGCCCAAAGTTGAAGAATGCAAGACACATTTACCAACAATTGAAAGTGCTATTCACTCTGTTCTCAAAGTCTCTCAGGATCTGATAGGAACAGAAAAGAAAATGGAAGACTTGACTATGCAGATGTTTAATATGGAAGATGATATGCTGAGAGCAGTGTCTGAAATAATGGAGATGCAGAAGATCCTTGAAGGAATTCAATATGATAATAGCATATTAAAGATGCAAAATGAACTGGATGTTCTCAAAGGAAAAGTTCATGATTTTATAGAATATTCAAGTATAAGAGAAAAGGGAACTTTAGAAGAATATAATCTAGAAAATAAAGGAATTGATGGTGATTTTTAAATTCACTACATTTACTCTGATGAATCATATTATACATAAATTGATTAGTTCCATGGTTTTGAATTACTTTGTTTTCATATGCCTCACTTTATCCTACATTATTAGGAAATAAATGAGATGTCCACACAAATGGATTACCCATATAATCAAAGCTTTTTTTGTTTTTGTTTTTATTTTTTTTTGAGACAAAGTCTCACTCTGTTGCCCGGGGCTAGAGTGCCATGGCCTCAGCCTAGCTCACAGCAACTTCAAACTCCTAGGCTCAAGCAATCCTTGTGCCTCAGCCTCCCGAGTAGCTGGGACTACAGGCATGCGCCACCATGCCTGGCTAATTTTTTCTATATATATTTTAGTTGGCCAATTAATTTCTTTCTATTTATAATAGAGACAGGGTCTCGCTCTTGCTCAGGCTAGTCTCAAACTCCTGACCTTGAGCGATCCACCTGCCTCAGCCTCCCAGAGTGCTAGGATTACAGGTGTGAGCCACCATGCCCTACCTAATCAAAGCTTTTTAAACACTAAAACTTATTCCATTTTAACCATTCTAAATAGATACAGTTCTAAAACATATATTTCTCTATTTTTAAAGCAAGATACTTAATATTTTTAAATGTTTTTCTAATAATTCATGGACATCATTATGAAAGTCGCCTATTATGTTGGACCCCAATATATTTATGTCTCTAGGAACTAATCAAGAGTGTTTACCACTTCACTAAATGACCCCAGTTTGCTGTTTTGCAAACCTTTGTTTCTTATACCTTTTCTTCTGCCACCTGATCTTACTGTCAGGTTGGTTGGTAATGTCCCTGGCTCAGCCATTTTTTCACTTTTCTTTGTAATTCACTGCAGGTTAAGAATCCAGACAACCAAGTTCATAGGAATTTTGTCTAAAATAAAAGATAATATGCATAAGGGAGAGCCTAGGGCCTTTGCTATGAATTAATATGCACTTTCTGAAAGCTATGAAGCCTGGGAAATGTTTTACTTTTTGTTAAGGTTCTGAACTGTGTTTTAAAATACAAGTAAATATATTCTAATTTAAGACCTTTCCTAAGAATTATGTATGTATGCTTTGAAATATGAACGTTTGGAATATCTTTGTTTATCTGGGCTTTTTGTTTTTTAGATTCTGTGTTTACACTCTTGAGTTTGCTAGATATATAATCTCTAGATAAATTAGTCTACTTAGAATAAAAATGCACCAATAAACCTGTGGCCTATTTTAAGGAGGAAAAAGTAGCATGATGATACTAATAATTATGTTAAAAGCATATCATTTTAAAGGTTTCTTAAACTACTAAACTAAATTTGATTTACATATTGATTTCATTTTATTCAAAATAATATAATATTGTCAACTGCATATGGAAGTTCTTTTCTTACTTGCCAATAACCATCCCAGTTTTACAATTCAATTTCAGTGGAATTAAACACAAAGAACTTGAAAGCAGTCAGTTACAAAAGACAGTTGTTGTCAGGTAGTTTCATTATGTAGATTTGCAAGTTTTTGGAGAAATCCCATTAGAGTTTGGAGTGCTTATGGTAGACAGCCACAGTTATAAAAATAAGTTTGAAGAGTGCTACTATTAAGGCACAGCATTAATTTTTGCTATTTTGACAGTAAATTTCTTGGCTTCCAAATGTGTAAGTTCTTATCTTTGTGCACTGACAGAAATCTGTTTGTTTACTTTTATTTTAATGCTAGTAAAATAGATTATAAAGTTAGTTGGAACTTTGTTGTTTCAACCTTCATCCTGTCAGGACAGATGTGATCTCATGTACTCTTCACTTTTAAATAATTTTTTTTTGCTGATGATCAGATTTAATACAACTTTGTCATAGACTTATGTATATCATGATAATGGTTACTGAGAGTAAATGGAAACAAGGTGGCCACTGTGCTCTGTAATGATACAAAGGAAACAAAAATTGAGCTTCTACAAATACTACATGAGAAAACTATTGAAGTATAGTATACATATGTGTGTGTGTGTATATATATATACTCTATATATTCCTTTACTAATGTTTTTCTATTAAAAATCATCATTAGATTTAGATATACTTAATTTGTCTTCCTCTGTTTCTTCCATTCTTTTATTTAACACAGATGATTAAAATTTCAACAACTTCCCTGCAAATTAAATATTAAATTACATTGTTAGTCTTTTCTTCATGGAAAATTATCAATATTTATACCTTTGTAATTGATAATAAATTTTATATAAATTAATTTCTTATAGAGAGTACTGGATCCACTTTTTAAAAAAAATCTTAAGTCAGTTTTATGAAATAAACATCTAATTATTTTTAAACTTTTGGATATAAAGTTTAAAATATATTTATAGTAATATTTCCTTGAATTTTACCTAATGATTAGAAGCTGTTGACTAAGTGTACTATAAAATTTTATAATGAAAAATATAGATTTATTAGCCTTTATGGCTTCAAAGAAAATTAAATCTGTAAGATATAAAACTAATAGTATTATTTTTTAATCTCAAACTAACTGTAGACCTTTATATTACTCTATAATCTTGATCAAAGTTTGATATGTCTTATAATAATGCTGTAAATTCACCAGACTTGCCCCCCCAAAAAATCTCATTTCTCTATATATTTCTCTCATATTTGCACAGTTGACAAAAACTGCAAATTCTTCCAGCATCTGTTCATTTCAGTTCAGCAACACACTATTAATTTAATACAAATTACAATGCTTTATCATAGCTTTAGGCAGCAGGGGAGGAGAGAACTTATATTTTGGCATCTATTTTGTACCAAATATTTCTAGGATATTTTCATTCATCATCATCATCTTAACAGCTCCATGTATTGACTACCTACTTTGTGCCAGTGTTTATGGAAGGCGTTTTACATGTATTGGCACTAATCCTCACAACAGCTTTGCTGTTAGACCCATTTTACAAATAAGGAAATCAAGACTTAGCAAGATTAGGAACCTTGCAGTCACACTCCTGGATCTGTCCAACTCCAGAGGCTGAGGACCTCCCACCAAACATTGCAACCTGCTGCTGTTCAACCAAGGGAGAAAGAAAAAAAAATCATAAGAAATATGCTGTCAGTAGAATTATCTTGAGAATTCAAAAAGCAATAATTCAGCCAAATGTGTTCTTTACCATCTTGCCATGAAACTAGACTGTGAGTCCCTCAAAAACTGTAGCTGTGCTCTAAAATTGTTTGGGTCTTTAGCATGAGACGGCATCAAAAATGTTGGGGAAGAATGGAAAAGTAGGGGTGAAGAACCCTAGGCTGGGATCTTGTAATCTAGGTTTCGACACTGTTTTCTTGGGTGCTATATTTTGTTGCTTGGTTTTCAAATAGTGAGATAAGAGAATTTTACCTTATTAATCTGTAAGATCCCTTCTGGCTTTAAGTGGTTTTAAATTAGATCAATAAAATTTCCAGGCCCATTAGTAGAATTCAAAGATACTTTAGCAAAGTTTTTGGAAAGCAGATTGGACCTAAAAATCATTTTCTTGAACCATGTTGCTGTGCTTATAGATCCAGGCAATATTTAACATTACAAGATTGCATCTAACTTAGTACCTTGCTTTTATGATAGAAATGTGGTAAATATTCAGATCACTCAAGTAATCTTTTGATCTACTGATAGATTCTCTAACTCTTCTATCCACCCTAGGCAAATAGCTTAAACAAACCTTAAGTAATTTTTTTAAATAATTCAATATAATAATTTATAGACTATTACCAACCATATTGAGTTTGTGTTTTAGTAAAGATCAACAGAAACTCATGATAAGTTGCTTTTATAAAATACCAAGTGAAACAAAGAGGTTTACTAGCAACTTCTTCCTAATCATTCTGATCCTTCTAAGAATAAGCTAAGCTCTTTCTGCAGTGTCTTAATTATGTAATACTATTAAGCTACATTTACTCTACCAGAGTAGATACATTAATAAATGATAACTAATAATGAAATAGATGAAAGTAAGCCATCTACTCCTTTCCCCTTTGGGAGACTCTGTTTCAGCAAATACACTATGTTGCAAAACTTTCTCCTTAAAAATAAAAGGTGATTTTGCAATCACTACTTGATTTCCTTCCTCTTTGTGGCTACTCCTTCTGTCATACCCACAGTTATATTTCACAAGCTAACTCTCTACCAAAAACACATTTGGGGCCACCTCCTCCAACAATAATTAATTAAGCATAAAGCTATTGAGGAGAAAAATCCTAAAACATATTTTGACTAGCCTCAGCAAGAGTGAGACCCCGTCTCTACTAAAAATAGTAAAAATTAGCTAGGTGTGGTGGCACACATCTGTAGTCCCAGCTACTTGGGGGCTGAGACAAGAGGATTGCTTGAGCCCAGGACTTTGAGGTTGCTGTGAGCTAGGCTGATGCCACAACACTGTAGCATGGGGAACCAAGTAAGACTCTGTCTCAGAAAAAATAAATAAAATATATTTTAAAATCAAACATATATGATGGTGTGAGGAGGGTGAGTTGCTACCTTGAATTAACTGTTCTACTGCCCCATTTCAGCAGTTCGTTGTAAGTTCTTTTGCAACTGCTCCTTTTTAATGCTGCTATCAAAATAATATTGTGAAGATATTACATGTTTATTTGCATTGAATAATACTAAATTTATGCTAACCAAAATAATATTAAAAGGTTAATATGAGCTGAGTAAGCCTGATACAATTAAGAAAATTTGTTAAAATACGTGAGAAATACAAAACTATTAAAAAAAAAACTTGAAGTCTTTAAACTGCACATTTTATTTTGTAAAAATGTTTTGCAATATGCGTATTTACTTCTTTTATTTTTATCTGTTCTAGAGACAGGGTCTCTCTGTGCTGCCCAGGCTGGAGTGCACTGGCTATCCACAAGCATGATTATAGTATACTACAGCATGGAACTCCTGGATGCAAGTAATACTCCAGTCTCAGCCTTCTGAGTAGCTGTGACTACAGGCATGCACAAATGCACCCAGCCATATTTATTTTCTTATTCCTTCTTTGCTGAGTTTTAAATAATTCATTCATTCATTGATATTCTTTTTCCCAAACTAAACTATAAACTCCCTGAAAGCAGAGACTGTTCTTGATCATACCAGCACATACTATATACACAGTACAGTAAATGTTGAATCAAACTGGTTCTGATGGTTTATAGAACACTATAGACAATTTCCTTCTTTGAAACATAGTGCTTCCCTAGAAAATGTTGAGAA